GAAACAACGTCATTCTGATATCTGCAGGCCTTCCCGGGACCTTCAGTAAGCCAGGGGAGATTGTGCATCTCCAATGGGAAAAATAGCAAGTCTTATCCCAAACCTCTGGGCGCTGGCTACCCCCACTCTCCTGCCCTTTGCCTCTCTCCTCTCCTAGGGGCCAATCATCCGTCTTGCACAGTCTCTCCAAATCCTGAAGGAAGCCCAGGCAGCTTGGAGCCATGGGTTTTGTTGGCTATGAAGCAGTCTTCTGTGCTTAGCAGGTGCGGGGTGAGCTCAGGGAAAGTGAAGCTCCTGTGCTGGGCCTCTGAGGGGCAGCTTGGTTGCCAGCAAGGCCAGTTTGGCCCTGGCATGGTAGAGCTCCCGGGTCCCTTGCCACTTGCGCCCTCTCCTGCCCCAAATTGCCATTCTGCTGGCTCCTCCACACCCCAGGCCTGTTATCCCCACTTCCTGGAATGCCCTTTATCATTCTCCTCACTCCCGTGGTTTGGCTGACTCCTCTTCCTTGAACATGGTCCCCTCCTTCAGGAAGCCTTCTTTGATGCCTGGGCTGGGTCAGGTGACCCTCCCCCTGGCTTCCTGGCCACATAGCGGGACTGAGAGTCCGAATATATCAGGGCTCAAGTGCAGCCTTCCCACAGACATGTGCTGTGACCTTGAGTAGCCACCTCTCTCGGGGCCTTGGTTTTCTGGTTTACAGAATAGGAGAATTGTAGAGGGGCCTTGAAGACCCTGGGCTCTGCCGTGACAGAGCACTGCTTGCCAAAGGAGTCCACACCAAGCAGCTCCACCTGGAAGCCCTGAGTGCTCTTTGTTTTGAAGCCCCCTGTCTGCACTGGGGCCGCTGGATGGGCGTGGGTGGGGAACAGCAGTGGGAAGGATCATATTGTCTCAGGGAAGGAGGTCTCCGGGGGCGGAGAAGCTGGGAGGTGCTGAGTGATCATAATAATTGCACAAGATCATAGACTCTGGGTGTTGAGGAAGACTTCAGATTCGGTCAGCACCACACCTCCATTTCCAAATGAGGAGGCAGGCCCTGTGACTGATGGACCCAATGTCCCGCACGCAACAGCTGGGGCTGCTGACTTCCCACGCCTCAAACTTGCACGTTTATGTTTTTCAGTTATAATGCCCTGATACCATCCTTAGCCCATTTGCTTCCCACAACCTTGTGTGTTTGGCGAAGCAGGGATATTATCTCTGAATGTAGGTGAAGAAAGCGAGGTTCAGAGAAGTTGTATAACTTGCAAAAGATCACACAGCCCATACGTAGCAAAGCAGAGTTTGTCTGACCATGGACTGTCCGACGCTTTCCTCTGCCCATGTTTTTATTACAAGTAGCAACGCCTACCTCCTTTGTCCTGCATTTCCCATTCTCCCCAACTCTGCCCTGGGGTCAACTCCTCCCCACCACCCTCTGGAATCCCAAATCCTTTGTGGCAGCACATCTGTTGCCATGGCACCAGATTATGATGTCGCAGACCCTGGATGACTATGTACAGCTCCTGGGTTGTGGAGTACAGGGGCTCACAGAGGTGGGCATTGTCCAGGGGGCAGACTGGCATGGACGGAAATAAATCCCTGGAAACAGGGAGCCACAGCCTCGAGCCCAGCTGGGGAATCACCCTGGGAGTCGGAGCCAAGGCCAGGAATGGGGGTCTGGCATGCCTTGCTCTGACAGGCCTGAAAGACTGTTCAGCCCTCATGCCTTGGCAGGGCTGATGTAGCCTCTTGATGAGGGACTGTCAGGCTCATTACACTGAATGACCCAACACTGGGATGCTCCCTGGGATCCCCTGGGAGAGCCTTTTTTGCCTTTTGTCCTTGTAGCAGTGCTGCATGGGAAAGCCACCCCCCCCCCACTTGCCCAAAGAGGGACGGAACTTGCCCAAGGTCACCCAGAGAGGAGGAGGCCATGCCAGCATTCAGCCTCAGCTCTTGTTCCAAGTCTTTCCATGTGGTTACAGATGAGGCCCTCTAAGGTATTTAGTCTGGTCCCCAACCTGAAAGTGGCCATGCTGCCTCAGATTCCCCAGAGTAGTCCATTAGCAGAGACAGTGCATCACTGTTATTCTGGCATACGCTTCTGGGCACATTCTAGGGAATACTTCATTTATGTGCCTGATCTGCCTATTGCCTTGTCATGTAGCCCCGGGGACCCAAGAGCTATTTATTTCACTGGTCACACTGCATTTGCTCTTCTGGGGTCCTCTGAGCCTGAGGGCCTTAGGAAGCACCTGTGGAAAGAGCCCAAGCTTTGGCAGCTGCCACATGGAATTAAAACTCCACTTCTGCCACCCACCACCTTCACCTCTTTGAGCCTCAGGTGTCTCTTCTGTAAAATGGGATTAATAGCACTATCAGGATGGATGCAAGGAGTCACTGGGGTATTGGGTGAAAGGTGCCGGGCCAGAGCACCAGGGCAAAAGATGTCCCAACCGGTCATGACAGCGAACAAATCTGTTCTCTAGTACACCGCCAGGAGACATCCGTTCCCGAGGTTGCCACTTCCTGAGCCTGTTTGGCCTCAAGGCTGCCCTTCAGGACTGTGCTGGTGATTTTGGCTGCCCTGGCCTCCTTGCCAGGTGCCTGTGGGGCTTGGCACACCATGGAAGGCCAAGCTCGCTCCCAGGCTTCCAGAATGCCAGGGAGGAAAGGGTCTTGGGCTAGTGCCTGGCCACCCCAGGCCAGCGACAGAGACCCTTTATCACCTTCTTCACCAAGCTCTTTTGAGTTCTGCCCGTTCTCTACCTGCATTGAGTTCCTGGGGGGCAGGTTGGGCTGATTTCTCTTCTGTGTGCTCAGTGCAGAGCCTGGCCCAGAGGCAGGCTCACTGAATGCCGAGCCAAAGCTGCTGTGGGATTTTTCCCACCTAGTTTGAGGCTTTTCTTCCAAATCTGATGCTGCTGAGTGTTTTGTTTGGGGAGCCATGCTAAGGTACAGGGGTACTTGACTGTGAAGTGTATTGTGGCCCTGCCCCAACTCAGATGTGACCTTGGGCATGTACTTAACTCTTCTGGGTCAGGATTTCCTCAGCACAGACGACTGGCATACACAATGCCTTGGGGAAGGCTAGAACAGGATGAAGAAGACATTAGGATATGCATTTCTTCTCTTCGGTGGGCGCTGAGCTTCTTGTGGAAGGGATGTTCTGGTGTTCATGTTAAAAAATGCCCCAGGTGCTGTGGTTTATAATTGTACTTATTTCAGGAGTATCCACAACAGCTCCTCAGTGTGGGGCTCAGGGAGGGCTTCTTGGGGAGGTGGGCTGGGAGGCAGAAGAGATGGTTCTTTCTTTTTTTAAAATGTTCATTTATTTATTTTTGAGAGAGAGAGAGAGCGAGTGCGTGAGTGCATGCACATAGGTGGGAGAGAGAGGGAGAATCTGAAGCAGGCTCCAGGCTCTGAGCTGTCAGAGCAAAGCCTGATGCGGGGCTTGAACTCATGAACCGTGAGATCATGACCTGAGCCAGAGTCGGACACCGAACTGACTGAGCCACCCAGGAATCCCTGCCTTGTTGTTTTCCTGAGCCAGCCCCTTTCCCTCTCTGGGCCTCAGATCCCGTTCCTCCACCTAATCTGTAAGGAGACTGATTCCTCTGGTTTCTTCCAACCCTGCACAGACAGAGGTAATCTCCTAAAGAAAGCGTGAAGAAAATTCATCTTAGCATGCAGATGTACTGCAAGGATTCCATTGAAAGGCAGAAATATAATGGATTCAGGAGACCCAGTGTCTGTCCCAAATTTCTGTCAGGCTGTCCAGGTGGGGCGGGGGGGGGGGGGGGGGGCGGAGCAGCCCCATGACCCCAGAGGCAGCCAGAGGGCCTGTGGGAGGATTTACATAATCCAAGGCTGGCCATTGGGAAGAAGTTTCCTGGGAGAAGGTGAGTCCTGACCTTTACCATTCAGCCACTTTACCATTCAGTTCAATGTCCCCACTGAGATCAACCCTGGGTTGGGTCCTGTGTGAATCTGAGAGTCCCTACCCTGGAGGAACATCAGGCCAGTGGAGGGACAGGGAGAAAGGCAAACCGTGTTCCTGCCTTCTTATCCCAGTTTTATTACCAGCTGTGAGATCTCAGCCTGCTACATAAGTTCCCTGTGAGGGCACAGAACACCTGTTTCCTTAGCTTGTTCTAACTAAGGCTCAAACCAGAAAAACAGCCTAGCTGCTGCTTCCTGCATCTTCTGTGCCAGGGTCTCTTTCCATATGCTTCGTACATTGTAGCTTGTCACTCCTCCTCAGAGCCTTTTGTTTCCTTCTTCCCATTAAGAAAACAGAGGCTCAGAGGTTAAGGAACACCCCCAAGGTCATACAGATAGAGAGAGGCAGAGCTGGGATTCAGACCTCCACGTGAAGCCTCCCCTCCAGGGTGTCTAAGTGCCTCTTACTCTCAGGAGACTGATTTGGGTCTCTTACCCAGTAGATGCTCTTTTCATCACTCCAAACAGAACATACCTCATTAATCTTGTCTCAGTGTAATCATTTGCTTTTAGGATTCATTAGCAACAGCTCCCCGGTGCTTCCAGAGGGGCCTGGTTGGGGGGAGCAGGACAGACCACTAAAGGGGCTGAGAACTGGCTAAAGAGATTAAAGTAACTGCCATCAGTGATGGGGAAAACTTCCGGGGGGCGGTGGGGGGGGGGGGGGGGGGCAGTGGAGCTGGACTTTGGGGGAAGAGGAGTATGACAGGAATGAGCAGTCCCTTGGTGGATGGATTCTGTCTCCCTTGTTGGACCCAAGCTCCTGAACTTGGAGGCAGGGCCAGGGGCCACCTGCCTCTACCTGGTGCTCAGCAGATGCCTGGGGAATGACCTAGCGCTTCTCTCCTTCCCTCTCTTGGTTGGTGAGGCACTCCGTGGCCTGGGGGGTGGTGGGAGGTCATGGGGTCCTGCTCTCGGACAGAACACATCCTGGTCACCCTGGGGCCACCTGACTGTATCCGAGAAAAACCTCCTGGGCCCACCAGGCCACTCACGCTCTTCTCCTTGCCCCACAGCCAAGAAGACCTGTGCAGACAGCGACTTTACCTGTGGCAATGGCCACTGCATCCCAGAGCGGTGGAAGTGTGATGGCGAGGAGGAGTGTCCCGACGGCTCTGATGAGGCCGAGACCACGTGCAGTGAGTCCTGGCCATGGGGCTGAGGGAGGGGGCCTCATGCTGGTGGGGGGGGGGGGTTGCTCTGCTTCCTCATCAGAGCTTCCTGGCTGGGAGTTGGGAGGCTCAAGTGAGGTGATCTGTCAGACACAACTCCAGACTCGCCTTCTGCAGCACCCTCGGAGGGGAAGGGGGGCCCTGGCAAAAAGCCAGGTGTATCCAGGGCTGGTTTCTGGTAATTTCCTCACAGGCTTCTTGCAGGTTGAGCCTTGCTCCTGGAGCATCAGGAACTAGAAACAGGCCTTCTGCCCAGAAGCAGCCAGAGCATATCCTCTGGGGCTCTCTGCCGCATCCCCACTGGTTTTCTGGAGGGCTCTAATTGTAATTCCAGTAGTACTGGTAAGCAGCGGGAGCCTATTACATGTTTACTATGTGCCAGACACTGCACTAGGCACTTAGTATGCACTGATTTGTCTTTTCCCCACAGCAGCCTTATGAGGCAGTTTTGCAAAGGAGGACACTGAGGCTCAGAGAGGTTGAGTGATTTGCCCAAGACCACCCAGCCAGGACTTTGAGGCCCCAGCTCTTCCCTCCGCCCTGAGCCGGCTGAACCCAGGAGCCCCGGCCTCTGTGGCAGGCTGGGGAACAGCAGAGGCAGCCAGGGGTGAGGCAGAGGGCCAGAGCGAGCCCCAGGCCCACCTCCCACACTCAGGGCTTCGTCTCTCCGTGATTTCTTTTCTAGGCCCTAATCCTCAAAGCAAACTTATACCCAGCAGGTCATTCCGTGACATTTGTTAAATTAAAAAGGAGATGAGAAGGGGGCGGGGAAGGACACAGGGGTCTCAGCAGAGTAAAACTGAGACAAAAGGTTGGGGGGAGCACGGGGAGGAGGGTAGGGCTGGTGAGGACCCACAAGTCACAGTCCTCATCCTCCTTGGAGGTCACATCCGCCCCAGAGGCGGCAGAGGAGGGGACAATGGAGGCCTGCGTCCCCTGTCTAGGGCTGTGGCTAATGATAACTGAGTTTCCTCGTCTCCTAGCAACAGAGCTAGCAGTCTCCCTGAGAGAGAGAGAGAAAGAGAGAAAGAAAGGGAAAGAGAAAGGGGAGAGCGAAAGCAGCCCTGGCCCGAGATAGGAGGCTCCCTCATTTCCTTGTGCGGCTGCCTCTGCCTTCCCTGGCCAGGCCTTGCACCCTATGCTTTTCTTACCCCCAACGAGCCAACCTGTCCTGGAGCCTGTCCTGAGCTTCCTCCTGAGCTGCACCAGGAACAAAGCCCAGCCACGCCCATGTGACTCTCATCTTCAGGGCAAGCTTGGATCCCTGTTTAGAGAGAAGGAAACTGAGGCCAGGATGGGTTTGTCCACTCGCTGCCTGGCTAACAAGGGGCAGAGTTGCATAGGGCCGGGAGTGTGTGTGTAGAGAGGGGGCTGTGGCCACAGGGGGCTTTGCAGAGGGACTGTAGTCAGCCAGTAGGGCCATCCCGACCCACTCCAGCAGTCACCGTGGATGCCGGGGGAAGCAAGGAGGTGGGAGGAGCCTCATCAGGGTTATTATTAGGGCCTATCCTGCTGCCTGAGAGCCATGCTCCCCCTTCTCCCCTGTCTCTGTCTCCTTGTGTTGATGTCCATTTTCATCTTCCCTCGCCCCATCTCCAGGGCCCTCTTCACCCCTGCTCTTTTGGACTGCCTCCCTCCTCTGCCTGCCCCTCTCCTCATCCTCTCTCTCGCCTTCCCTCTCCTCCCTGCCCGGCCCTATACTTCTCTCTGTCTTTCTCCCTCTAGCAGCTGCTGCCTTCCCGTCCCCTGGCTGTGCAGGGGCCCTCTAGCCTCCCCACTCCTGCTCCCAGGCCTGCTTTGTCCCACAGTTGAATAACTAGAGGCTCAGAGAAGTCCAGGGCTTTGCTTCCAAGACACACAGGTTGGTTGTGGCTGGTCGACCTTCTGTGATAGAAGACGGGTGGGCTCGTCAGGCTCTCAGGCCTGACGGAGTGCCTGCTGGAGCAGGAGTCAAGGCTGCACCCTGGGAGCTGGGAGGCCCGGCTCTCCTCTGGGCTCTCCCGGTGAATTTGCTGTGAGATCCTGCACTCTTTCCCATCCCTCTCTGGGCCCCAGTTTCTAACATCTCAGAATTCCAAAGACCATGATCTGAGATTCCTGGGCTCCGAGGACCCTCTTTGTCCCAGCCGGGGCACAAGGCCCAGGAACCCACTTCTTGCGCCAAGTTACATTGGTCAGGGTCAGGCAAGGCCTGTGGGTAGGGAGGGCTGCCTGGAGGAGGTGGGCCAGAGTAGGACTTCAAAGGACAGGCAGAACTGAGGGCAGCAGGACCTGGTAGCAGGCTCGCTCACTGCTTTCCCCACCAAATGGGAACTTGGGAGCCCAACCACTGCTCATTTAACTGGTGTTGCCATAGCAACCTCGACAGCCTACCAGGTTCCTAAGGACTATGTCAGCTCAAAGAAAGATTAGAGGCAGTAGTAAAATATAGTGGGTTTGGTGTGTGATATATTTGGGTCCAGGTCCTATGAGACCTCAAGCAGGATGCCCAGTCTCCCTGAGGCTCAGTTTACTCATCTGTAAAATGGAGTGATGGCACCCCCCTTATGGGGGTTAGAAGGATGAAATGAAAAAAATGCGGTCAAGTGTAGGTGCTGGAGTAAATAGCAGTAATACTTTTATTATTGTATTTTGATCCCAGGCTTTCTTTCCCACATACACCAGTTTAAAATTTTAGAATAAGCAGGGGATTTGCATTGAGAGGGAAGAGGATTTGGGAGGAGGTCCCCATCCTTGTGTCCCCACTATGTCATCTGCCCCTAGCTGGCCGGGGTTTCTCTCGGCTCTCCTTTCTTCTGGTTCTGGGCTTTGTGTCCATCAGATACGGCCGAGAGTCACAGTAGGAAAGCCTGGGACATTTGCCTAATGAAAGTAGCGTTTTAGCTCTGATTTTAGCTCACGTGATTGGGGACAGCTTCTGACCCACCTTCAGGCATATGATGGGAGGGATACAGGGTGGGGTGGGAAGGTTGGTTCAAGGGTACAAGTGAGTGAGTTGCAACTTCGGGTACTGCATACTGAAAATGGGATTTTGTTCTTCATCTCGGAACTTTCGCACCAGAAGGGGGACCTTACTGATGAACCTTCCTACTATAAGTCGGGAAGTGGAGGCCGGGAGGTTTTTTGGAAATCACCCAGCAAGTTAGAGGCTGACCAGCTAGGACTTCACCTGAGCCCATGGGAAGGAGCCAGGTGTGACCACCTCCTGCATGATGGGGTGGCCCCGGGCCATGCTTCCTGGGCAGCAGCAGGACACTGGTAGTCCCTGCCCCCTGAGTCTCTGGCCCTCCTGAAGCTGGCCGTCCCCATCTGGAGGTCGTCTGCCCCTAAGCCTCATGTGACCTGACACTGCATACATCTCGCTCACTAAGCAGCCATCAAACACTTTCATTCTTTCATCTGACAGACATTTCTCTTTTTATTAATTTGTGAACTCATAAATTAAAGTGGATTGGATTTCTGGGGCAGGATTCTCTGGGAATTGATAATGCCTCCAGCCACTCCAGCATGCAATTTCAGGCCCTTGACGGCTTTGGAGGGTTCCTGGCATCTGAGAGATGGTGGGGTTCTTCACCCTGCCTCTCAGAACCTCGGGGACACTTGACGGCAAGCCAAGGCATTGCTCGCGGCACCTTCCTCAGAGAGAGGCATTTGTAGGGAGTGCCATCGTGGTGGGCCATGTGGACCCTGATCGTGTGCACCCCCAGGGACAAGACCAGGGCCCTCCTAGCCCCTTGCATTTGCCTTTCGTTAAATCAAACAGGGGCAGCTGGTTTCGGAGTTTGTCCCAGGCTCTGAGTGTAGACATTTCCATGTTTCCTCACTTAAACCATCTACCAACTCTAGGAGACTATGGTACCCCATTTTCAGATAGAACCTTGGGACAGAGAGGTTAAGTGACTTGCTGAAGGACCTTCATGTGAATGGATGGGTTTGGGCCTAGGTGTGCATGACTCCAAAACTGATTCATGCTCTTTGTCCTGCATTGTGCTGCCTGGGGGGCCTCTGGCTTCATTATCCTGAAAGTGGACGATAGGCGGCCATGTTGCGGTCCCTACCTGAGGAAAGGCCCAGTGAGCCTCCTTCCTCTGGTGATCCCTGTCCAGCCCAGAGGCGCTGGTGGGGACCAATGGGGCCTGCTTTTCTCAGGGGCAGTGGTTAAGTGCAGTAAGTTAAGCAGTGTGTCTGGAGGTCGGAGACCTGGCTGGAAGTCCATCTCTGCCCCTCTCTGGGCTCTGCTCTCCTTGTCTGTAAAATGGAGGTGGTAAGAGCACTCCCCTCATAAGGACATGCTGCTCGGCAGCCGGGACCAGCCTTCCAGGGCTAGGCAGTGAGGAGGCCTGACCCAGGAGCCTGGAAATCGAGGTTTGCCCTAGCTTTGGGGAACAGCTGCATTACCCCAGAGACCGCGAGGTTCTAGGAGAGGGAGGTGGTTGGAATACCTGATATTCAGTAGCCTAGACAGGTCCCTTCCCCTTGCTGGGTCTCTGTCTCTTGTCACTATAGTGGGTGCTCCCCGATGTGACCTCTTGGGTCCTGGCATTCCAGGACGGTGCCTTGGCTCTTTGAGGGTATGAGGGCTGGTGTCAGGCACTGCTGAATCTTCCAGAGCTTATAATTAGAGCTGTCTATTTAAGGACACAGCAAATGTCTTATTAATTATAAAGAAAAGAAGCAGACGGATTGTTTAATCATTGTCCTTGCTGAAAGGTTATGCAATTAACTATATAAATATTCATTAAAAGTTCAAGCGGCTGCCTGCCTCACTGGGGTATGCAGAACCGGGCCCCGAGAGGCAGGGAGGGCAGTCAAGGGCCATTTCAGTCACCTGGGCTTTTGGGTGTCGAGTTTGGGGCCGGTTCAGGCTACTTCTCTATCCACGGGGGTGTGCAGGCTTTGATGGAAAGGGCAAGATTCCGTCAGAAGCACCTGGCCTCTGCCTCTCACCTGCTATGCGTCTTTGGACCTGTCCTTTGGTGTCTCTGAGCCTGTTTCCTCATCTGTAAAATGGACTGCTTACCTGAAGGCCTGCTGCCCTGCTGTACCCCACAGGTGCTGCTATGAAGATCTTTGTGAATGACGTCCCAGGAGCTGGCACTTCTATCCTGCAGGGTCTGCTCACCTGGCAGGGGGAGGGGGAAATGGGAAAATCAAGTAGCCCGGCACGTGTGGGTGCTCAGTAAATACGGCTTCCTTCCAACCCCCCTGTGAAGTTATGTTTCCTGAGGCCTGGCTCCGGGCTATGCGGTCACCATATCCTTGCTCTCTCGGGAGCTTACACACATACAGAATGCCTCTATCACTGTTATGGGAGTGAATTTAAAACAGATGAAATATCCTATATCTTTTAAGACTTGCAGAATGTTAACCCAGTGGTTCTCAAATGGTGTGCCTGTGGTTGAGGAGAGTTAACTGAAATGTAGATTCCTGGGCTCTGGCCCCAAAGTCTGGATTCAGCCCAAGACAAGCCAGGCCCAGGAACCTGCATTTCCAACAGCTCCCACACCCGGCCCTACAGTCAGGAGTCTGGGAAACACTGGTTGGCCTCAGCTCCCTCTTGCAGTTACGGGAGTCCTGCATTGCAGGGGTGATAGAGGTGCTCCGGAAGGGCCCCACCTCCTGGCTGCCAGACCTCCTTCACCACCCTACACTGTGGCCCCAAGGCAGCCTTTGTAAAATGTCTTTTTTTTTTTTTTAATGTTTATTATTGAGAGGGGCACCTGGGTGGCTTAGTCGGTTAAGCGTCCGACTTTCGCTTAGGTGATGATCTCGCGGTTCGTGGGTTCGAGTCCCCGCGTCCGGCTCTGTGCTGACTGCCAGCTCAGAGCCTGGAGCCTGTTTCGGAGTCTGTGTCTCCCTCTCTCTCTGACCCTCCCCTGCTCACGCTGTCTCTCTCTCTCTCCTAGAAATAAATAAAAATTAAAAAAAAACCAAAACATTCTTAAAAAAATAAATAAATAAGTGTTTATTATTGAGAGAGAGTGAGAGAGCGTGAGAGAGAGTGCAAGCAGGAGTGGGGGAGGGGCAGAGAGAGAGGGAGACACCGAATCCGAAGCAGGTTCCAGGCTCTGAGCTGGGCCCGAACCCATGGACCACGAGATCATGACTTGAGCCAAAGTCGGATGCTTAACTGACTGAACCACCCAGGCGCCCCACAAGGCAGCCTTTGTGAATGATCTGAGTGTCGGCACCCTAGTTATTTGGCAAGCGGAATTTCTATAAAACGAGTGCTGCGAATCCCGTATTCTCAGTGGGGTGCCTCATATTTCATGAAATGTATTCCTAGGGATAACTCTGGGGTCCAAGGTACTCCTTGGTATCATAGTGTCTGGGGGCCCTTCCTCAAACACCTGCCTCCTGCCCCACCTTATTTGCCTTTTCTCCGGCTCTTGGGCCATCTCATCCCTGCTATGGAAGTCAGAGAAAGAGAACCTGGTCTGACGTGAGAGAGCAAAGTTGGGGGGGAGGCAAGGGTGACCTCTGCCTGCAGGTGCAGTGGACTGTGCCAGGGGCCTGGCATCGGACACGGCTGCCTTCGAGTCCTCGCTCAGTTCTTACCAGCCGTGTGGCTAGAACCCAGTGCTTACCACCACGTCTGGGGCACGGCAGCGCCCAGCAGATACTCACTGAGTGAATAAGCAAGTGCTCGTCTGTTCGTTTGGAGAAGAGTGGATAATCATAAGTGGGCACTGGGCCGGGCATGCTTCTGAGTGCCTTACAGATACTAACTTGGGAGTCACCACAATCCTACGGGCTAGGGAATAGTATCTTCCCTGACCTATTAGCACCGAGGTGAAGACTGTTGACTGAGGTCATGTAGCCAGTGAGTGACTGAATTCAAGCCAGGTTCCAGAGCCCATGCACTCGACTTCTGAGCTGGAGGTCTCAACATAATCCTCACCCTGCTGGGGTTTTGTGAAGATGAAATGAGTGCCCAGCTCTGTGCCTGGCACATCCTACAGATGACGGAGTTAACACTCTGGAGGGTAGGAGGGAGCCAGCCACAGAAGTCTGAAACGCGTCTATCACAGCTGGGTGTGTCACGTGGCTCATCCTGGGACACTCGGGATGAGAGCTGTCCCCAGCCCTGATCAGGGTTCTCATTCTTTCTTCCAAATTGAGAATCAACCCTGGGGCTTCGGGCCCCTGACTGAGTCAGCCTCTGATTGCTGCTGCAGTAATTATAGCTGTGTGGTCCCGCTGGGCCCTGCCGCACAGCTCTGCTCTCAACAGCGGGCTCAGCACCGTTGCCGGGGGAGGGGCAGGAGGGGATGGGGTGCACCAAGGGAGCTGTTGGGGCCTTGGTGCGCCCTCCAAATCCACAGATTCAGATCGCCCAGTCACTGATCTAGAAGCCAGACCGAGGCTGAACTGGAGTATATGTCACCGCAGGGCACAGAGGGGAAATGACAGAGGTGTGCAGTGCATGGCAGTTTCATGTTGCTGGAGCTCGATGGGGAGGTTTGCAGGGAGGGAGGTGGGGGGCTGGAGAGGCAGGCAGGGGTGGCTGGATGGAAGAGGGGCTTGAGTGCCAGGGACCAGGGGCCCGTGAAAGGGTGTCAGACAGGGAGTTGTGGGGTCAGATGCAGGATTCGGAGGGTCTTAGGGGCGCACAGTGGCCACTTCTCAGATGAAGAAACTGGGGCTTTGGGCAGGAAGGCCCTGATGGATTCCCAGGGCCTCAGGCCAGGTGGCTGGAGCCAGACAGTAGGACTGGTTGGCGCCATGCCCCGTGCCCCCCTTGCCTAAGCCACGCGCGTGTGTCTGTCTGCACAGCCAAGCAGGTGTGTCCTGCGGAGAAGCTGAGCTGTGGCCCTGCCAGCCACAACTGTGTGCCTGCCTCATGGCGCTGCGACGGGGAGAAGGACTGCGAGAGCGGAGCAGACGAAGCCGGCTGTGCCACCCGTGAGTTGGGTCAGGTCCCCGGGTCTGCAGGGTGGTCAGGCAGCACTGAGGAGCAGCAGCCGCCTCTAGGAGGGGCCTTCTCTGCAGGGCTCAGGGGGTGGAGAGCAAAGGGTTAAGGATCAGGACACTGGTAATGGCCAGGCGCTCTGGAGAGGCATTTCCTGCTTTCATCCTCACAACCACCTCACGAGCAGCCATGATCATCCCCATTTTACGGGTGAGGAAACTGAGGCTCAGACAAGCGAGGAAAAGTGCCCAAGCCTGAGTGATGGAACTGAGGTTCAAATCCAGCCCTGGATAGCCAAGCCCAGGAGTACTTTTACCACATCTGACATCTGCTCATCCATTCCATCCGTCTGCACCAACCTCCGAGCGAGGGCAGGGGGCCACGGCCGGGACGTGTCAAGTAATGGTGGCCGCCGGGGCCAGGGCGCTGGTGGTGCCAGGGGGGAGGGGCAGACTCCTGAAGTGTGAAGGACGTCTGATGCTGCAGTCTCAGACCGGTGAGCTCGAATATCACAGGGCAGGGAAGACATCCCCAGCAGCCTCAGCAGGGACAGATGGAAGTGGTCACTGGGGCAGTTCCACATCACTGAGCTTCAAATACAGGATTATCTCCTTCCCAGGGAGCAGGCCAGCAGGTCCTGGGCCAGTAGGGCTATGCTTGTTTCAATTCGATGGACACCTACTGTGTGCCAGGCCTGGGGCCAGGCTCTGGAAAGGATGAGGAGGTGAATCCTCACGCTCCTCCCTCTGGGAGCTCATGATTAATAGGGAAGACAGACTGGCTGTTGATAACGAGGCTGCAAGGCTAGGCTGAGATACGGGGGGTTTGTGGTATTATGGGGGTTTTGCCAGGCACTTACCCACCACTGCCTCCCATCCCACTCCCTCCACCAGCCTCTATATTTACATCCTATCCATCCTCCCTGGCCCAGAGGAAATGCCAGCTCCCTGGAGCCGTCTGAGTCACAGCATTCTAGACTCCAAGTCTGGAGTTCTGAGGTGTCTGAAGCAGGAAGCATCTGGGTATGGGGGGGGAGATCCTGGCTGGGGCCAGCAGTTTCAAAGCCCTGGCGATGGCATTAGCTTGTTTCTTCAGCTGTGATAATTTTGCGGAGCTTCACTGGCCAATGAAAATCCACCTCCCTCCTTTCCCACCCATAATCAGATGTTTCCCCAGCCCTAAGGGCCATCAGCCCCCATTGCACAGGGTGGGAGTGTCTCTAACTAGGGCACGTCGTGCATGGGACAGGTGGAGGGTTAGAGGTCTTACTGAGTGTCTCTGCTATAGCTCCCAACCACCTGGGCAGAGGAAGAAGAATTCTCCCTTCTCTCCTCCCTCAGAGCTGCTTCCATTTGTGAGTGCTGGGAGTAGGGTCTCTGGATGCAGGTCTGAGAATATGGCCCTCGACATTGCTGTCAACTTTGAACCTGAGGGAGAACTCAGTATAAAGAAGCACATCCTCCCAGAACTCTAAACTTAGTGAGTCCTTCCCGCCAGACACGTGCAAGCCGAGTCTGGCAGGAAAGAAGGGAGCTAATCTAGGCATCTGAGTAATCTTGAGGGGCAGACAGCACAAGGTAATGTGTGCTTTTCCCACCAGTGGCCCAACATCCCAAAAGCCCAGGGGGCGGGGGGGCGGAAGGCAACTGTCAGAAACTTGATAGAGCTGTCAGCAACACATGAGGAGCTGCCTACATTGTGAAACCGAAGACATCATTCTATTTTATGTCCAGTAACAATGAAAAATGACATTTTTCTATCAGAAAATTAAAACAGACTCTTGGCGCCCCCATGTGGAGATATCTGGTGCTGCTGCCACCACCACATTTCCCAAGGCCATAGCCACTAGCCACAGCATCCATGCCTGACAACTCACCCCACCCCCATACCCCTTCCCAGGCCTATTCATGGCCTCTGTGTAAGGAATGGAGTAGGGAAAGGTGAGGAGGTCACTGCTCTGAAAACAGCTTACACTCCAGGAACGGAGGAGAAAACTAGAAAGCTGAGAGAGTCAGAGTAGGAGAGAAGAGCCCCAAACCTGAGTTCTGGTTCTGTGCGACCCTGGGCAAGTTGCTCCTCTCTGGGCCTCAGTTTCCCCACCTGTAAACTAGTGGTTGGGCTGGTGGTCTCCAAGGCCCTCCCAGCCTCTGAGCTGAGCAGTTCACCAGAGAGAGGAAGCCCAGGGCCCCAGGCAGAGCCAGTGACCTATGCCCTTAACTACTGCACGTCCCTTAGTTACTCCTCACACCCGGGCTGGTCCAGCACCCATCCGCTCCACACCACCCACTGCTGGGAGCACTGTGCTAGGCCCTCAGGATGAAGCTGAGTCATTCTCAGAACCTGTCCATAGAGTTGTCATGAGGGAGACAGAGAAGGTCACCAGACCCAGACACTTGAGCATGCTGTGAAGGGCACCTGAAAAGAGAGCAGAGGTGGAGGGAGGCTTCCCAAGCAGGGGAGCACAAAATGAAAGGAGTGGAATTTGGGGCCCTGAACGATGAGACCTCATCGTTGTGAAATAGAGACGGTGGTGGGCAAGAGATGAGCACTCAGTAGAAGGGACAGCTTGGGCAGAGACCTGGAGGTGAGCAGGTGAGCAGGTGGGCAGTCTAGTGTGGCTGAAGCCAGGCTGTGTGCAGGAGTGAGGTGATGGGGTACAGCAGTGGTTACTGCCAGTGACCTTGGATGCCAGGCCAGGGGACTTAACTGGGATAAGTGCAGGCACGTGGAGGGGCGAGGGGCCTTGAGCTGTGCTGTTAGGAAACAGCCCCAGACCTCGTTACCTGGAAAAGGTCAGTATCACGTTAGGTATTTACTAGGAACGTCACAAGGCCCTTCAAGAGAGGCAGTGCCCTGGCGCCGAAGCGCTCCTAGCCCCACCGCAATGCCGGAGGTGGGACGGGAATTTCGCTCCCAGTGAGGCTGCGGAGGCTCACGGGAGGGCAAGCGTGTTGCCCCAGATCCCCCTGCATGGCCCCGGCTTGGAAGCCCCTGTGCAGTCCCGGACGGCACGTCCACCGCCGGGCCCCGCAGAGCGCATGCGGCCGTGGGCGAGGGTCAGGGCCCCCACAGCGGGGCCGACCCGGCTCTCTGTCCCGCGCAGTGTGCGCCCCGCACGAGTTCCAGTGCAGCAACCGCTCCTGCCTGGCCGCCGTGTTCGTGTGCGACGGCGACGACGACTGCGGCGACGGCAGCGACGAGCGCGGCTGCGCCGATCCGGCCTGCGGGCCCCGCGAGTTCCGCTGTGGGGGCGGCGGCGGCGGCGGCGGCGGCGCCTGCATCCCCGAGCGCTGGGTCTGCGACCGTCAGTTCGACTGCGAGGACCGCTCGGACGAGGCGGCCGAGCTGTGCGGCCGCGCGGGCCCCGGGGCTACCGCTGCGCCCGCCTCCTGCGCCGCGGCCGCCCAGTTCGCCTGCCGCAGCGGCGAGTGCGTGCACCTGGGCTGGCGCTGCGACGGCGACCGCGACTGCAAGGACAAGTCGGACGAGGCCGACTGCCGTAAGCCCCCGCCCCCCGTAGAGCGCGGCCCCGCCGCCCCCTTCCGGCCGCGGGACGCCTGCCCCGCCCGCTCCGGTTACCTGGGTTACGGTGGGGCGCGCGGGCTTGGGAAAGGTGGAGTCATTTGTTTGAGGTCCCTCAGGCTCCAAAGCTGCGTGGCTCAGGTCTGACCCCAGAGGCCAAGGGTCTTCTCTGATCCTGCCCTCCCTGTCATGCCTCCCACCCCTGTGCTTCCCTGTCCATTGGCTCCAAGGCCCGAGACCTTGATACACTCAGGAGCTCCCCAACCCTTCCTACCTGCTGGGTGTGCTTGTCCTTCAAGTCCTCAACCCTCCCAGCTGGACTGGGTCTCTCCCCCTGGGCTACCCTGAACCACCCTTTCCTACAGCATAGCCGACGCTGTGATGTCGTCTGTGCATCCCTCAGCCCCTCTCAGGTATCCTTGAGCTCCTAGAGGATGGAGAGCCTCTCAGTAGTCTCTGGGTTCCCCACACCCCACATAGTGCCCCGCATGCAGTGGGTGCTCAGGAAGGGTTTGCTGAAGGAATGAAGTCATTAATCAGTGAGCACCGACACTCAAAAGAAGGCCACGTGTCTGCTATAGATGGGTGGCCCTGGGGAGAAGGCGGTGGAGGGGACAACAGGAGACCTGAGTTTTAGAGTGGCTCTGCCACAGCTCTGCCAGAGCGCTGTGTGATCCTGGGTGAGGCCTTCCCCCTCTCTGAGCTTCAGTCTCCCCATCTGTATGCTGGAAGTGCCTTGGCCAGGTGTCCTCTCTAGACTCCCAAGCTCAGCCACCGGTTCTGTTCTTTCGGGGGGCGGGGGTGGTAGATCGGGCTGGGGGCTGGGAGAGGAGAACTGTCCCAACAGCACGTTGGCCCTGACCCTGCTTCCTTGCCCTCTCCTGGCAGCACTGGGGACCTGCCGTGGGGATGAGTTCCAGTGTGGGGATGGGACCTGTGTCCCTTCAGTCAAGCGCTGCAACCAGGACCAGGACTGTCCCGACGGGAGTGACGAAGCTGGCTGCTTACAGGGTGTGTGTGGAGTTGGAGGCGAAGGGGCAGCGCCCTCCTTGAAGAAGAGCCCTGAGCATTTCCAGGTTCCAGAGAGAGCAGAGTTCGTAGAGATCTCCCTTTGGTCTCTGAGATATGTCTTCCCTCAGAGCGTCACTTGCTCCTAAATTGCCCAGTTTTACTCCCTGGAGGCCTACTGGCCCCAGAACCAGATTTTAAAGGACTGCAAAAAGCTGAAAGAGGCCTAGGGGGATGTGAAAAGGCATTTGCAGGAAGTCCGGCCTCCACCATTTGTCCACACCCGAGTCTCCAAGTGGCTTCCTTCCCAGGGTGAGCAGAGGCTCAGTCCCCAGGGAGCCTCCTTAATTCTCAGATGACTCTCTGGGACCCTGACCCTGGGTCATCTGGGGAAACGGATAAAGGGTTGGGCAGTGAGATGGCCTCCCCTATGCAGGGTCTCTAGGGCACAGGTCTCCCTCAGATGGTCAGTCCAGCCCCCAGGATCTCCGTAGGCCTCCCGTTTTCCCCCCTCAGGGCCCCAGCACTGCTAGATCAGGCACAGACACCACCACCTTCCCGCCCTGTCCAGCTAGACGCTGCCTAGGCGTCCGGATTATCCCTGGGGTCCTGTACTTCTGTGAACAGAGCTCCCAGCCCTGTGTTCAACTGTCTGTCCTGGGCCCTCTAGAGACCAGTGGAGACTGGGGCGGGAGCTCTGCTCACCTCCCAGGGACCTGGCCCAGCCCAGCCCTCCCTGCCCAACGTCTCTCACATCCTGTCCACTCTCTTGTCCGGCCCGACAGAGTCAACATGTGAGGGTCCCCGCAGATTTCAGTGTAAGAGTGGCGAGTGCGTGGACGGCGGGAAAGTGTGTGATGCTCAAAGGGACTGCCGGGACTGGTCGGATGAGCCTCTGAAAGAGTGTGGTACAGTACCTGTCTACTTCTGGCTGCTGGACGAACCCCCACCCCCACCCCGCCACACCCCCTCCTGGCATCTGGGCAGAGGCCCGTGCCTGCCCTATTGCACACGTTCTGTTCTCACCCTCTCTCGGCACTCCTGGGCTGTCCTGTGGCCTCAGATGGGGCTCTTTGACTTTGGGGCCTCCTTCTGCATCTCTACAAATCGAACTCCCTTTTCTTTCCAACCCGGATGCTCAGTTATGCTTCCTCTCACAAACTCGGCCTCTCCTCCTCACTCCTTCTGCATTCAGACCTCTTAGTATGTGCTCGCTCTGAAACTTCTCTTCCTCAGTGATCCTGCTCTCCTGACCCAGCCAGGGCCCTGGCCTCTGAGGCCTTCCAGCCAGCCCCCCGCAGAGGGAGACGTAGGGGACAGCAAACAGGCAGCTAATTGAGGTGCATCCCAAGACCACCAGGCACAGGCCAGGCCTGAGTGAGGCTAAGGCAGACTGAGCAGCAGACGGTGGCACAATCCCGAGCCCCAAGGAGCTCAGACTATCTGGGAGATAAGGTGTAACAGGCTGGGTGTGAATAAGGGGCAGAATGAGGCAGCTGTGCTAATGGCTATAGCTGTCGGGGTGTGTTCTGGACTGAAAAGAACAGGAGGGTCTGGGCTGTAGGTAAAGTGGGTGCCCTACAGAACATGCTGGAAACCCAGTGTGGGCTCGAGGAAGGTTTATTGCCAAGGTCAGGGGTTTGGACGGAGAATTCCTGGGAGGACGGAGCCTAGGTTGGACCCCCACTTCCTGGCAGACTCGTTTCCACCCAGCACCTCCCATACTGGGCGCTCAGAGTTCGTTCTCTAGAACCCCCAGGGGTAGCATATTTCCACCCCTTTTTGAGATTTAAAGTTGGACTTTGAAAGGAAGAGGTGTTGGGCGAAGGTCACTCAGCCTCCACCTAAGCTTGCAGGACAGACTCTCAGGCCTCCTGGCTCCCCCCCTTCCCCCACCGTCTCCCAGAGGCCCTGCCAGGAAAAGTTCCAGAAGAGGGAGCCTAGGGAAAAGAGGATAGAGAAATGGGAGCAACCGCACCTAGCCCCCCACCCCACCTGGATTTGGAGTTCACCGGTGACTGCTAACCTACTAAATCTCTTCTTTCTGGTCTTTTGCATGACACATCTAAGAGACGTATGTACGCATGTGTTTGTGTCTCTGGCTGGTGACAAGCCAGTGTCTGTGTCCGTGGCTCCTCCTCTGAGTAAGGCAAGGGAACTGTACCTCGTGTCTCTGTGTGTCCCCGCATCTGCGTGAATGTGTCTGTGGAGTCTGTGGGCCCGTCGGTGCCTCTGCACGTAAGCTGGTGCGTGTGAGCATGCAGGTAGGCGCACGTGCTGGGGAAGGTGACACTGCCCCTTCCTCCCATGCTGGGCCTCAGGTGCCACTCGGGCCTCTGGACCACCACCCCTCCTCGACTGCAGGCCCCTGGCAGAATCACCTCCAGGCTACATAGAACTGGGAAGGCCCAGACGGTCCCCTTCAGCCTCCACCTCGGTGCTGGCCCTTCCAGAGCAGGGTCAATGGAGTCCGGACCCGCTGCCCGTACTCTCGCCCCCACACATCTCAGCCCTGGAGGACTCCGTGCTCTCCTCTGTCATAGAAGCCTGAGCGCCCTTGAGCTTTCCCCTTTCCCCTTTCAGGGTTGTCCTACACATGCCAGTCTGGCGGGTGCTCGGTAAATACAGCTGCTGAGTGGCTGCTACCTAGAGAGGGTGAGGGGGGCAGCGAGCAGGTGCATGGACGAGGCCGTGGGTGAGTGGCGAGCAGATGTGTGGACAGCACTGGGGGAATAATTACAGTATGAGAGAGGTAGGGAAGGTTTGGAGTGAAAGAAGATTCCCAGAGAAGGATCCCCACACAGACTACCTCGAAGCGGCCATGGTGCCGCCCACCCCGCAGGGCTGGGCCTTCCCAGGGCTGGGCCCGGCTGAGTCACTCCCAGACCCCCCCAGTCACGGGGTTGCTGTCATCTTGTTCTTTCAGTTCCACCAGCGTCCCTGGGAAACAGGAGGAGGCCCAGGGGTAAAGGGGAATATTCCCTAAGCATGGCTCAGGCTGGAGGTGGGGCACCCACCGCTGTGCATGGCCTGGGGTGGGCAGCTCAGACCAGCCATGTGCATGGCCACGGCTGGCTCCGCTCAGCTCTGCGTGGCTTGGCTGGAGCGGCGGTGCATGAGCCTGGGGGGTAGAAGGATGGCATGGCGCCTTCTCTTGGCTTGCACAATTAACCTTCTGTGATTCCGAAGCTCAGAAGATGCTGTGAGAACATGGTGAGCCTTGGTCCTGGCCTCCCTGCCGTCCCCTAGGACTCTGCCAGAGGGGGTGAGGGAGTGGAGGACGAGGAGACCCGGTGACCTCCCGGCATCGCTTCACCCCTTGTAGCCGTTGGTATTCCTGGGACCGGGCCTGTGGCTAAGTGTAGGAAAGGGACAGGTGCTGAGAGGAGAGCAGGGGGAAATCATCCATTGTATTTCATGGTGAGAGAGAACTGACCAAGTAGCAGCTCTGTGTAGAGAAAGCCTGGGGTCTTAAATAACCACAAGCTCAGTAGGGGCAGCCTTTGTGGTTCAGACTCCCTCTGGACTGCAGACTCCTGGGCTCTGTCCGGGCAGGGACATGAACAGATGGAATGTGTCCGGAGGAAGGCACTTGAATGGCAGGGCACCAGAAATTAGCACTTTACATTTTTAAAAAATCTTTATTGAGAGAGAGAGTGAGAGCAGGGGAAGAACGGAGAGAGAGAAGCAGACTCCAGGCTCTGAGCTGTCAGCACAGAGCCTCACACGGGGCTCAAACTCACAAACCGTGAGTTCATGACCTGAGTGAAGTCAGATGCTTAACCAACTGAGCCACCCAGGTGCCCCCAGAAATTAGCACTTTAAAGGAGATTCTGAGGGAGCCAGCAGACGCTGGCCAACCCCACCCAGCAGAGCTGGAGTGGGAGCAGAAGCTTCAGGAAGGCCAGTCCAGTGAAGAAGAGCTTTATAACAGCCTGTTTCAGGTGGAGCCGGCTACCTAGGAGGAAAGTGGGCTCTATGAGGCTGGAGATGTTTAAGCCAGGGCATTTCAGAAGGGGTTCTTGAGGTATCTTGAGGGTTGGATGTGGTCCACGTACGATGAGGTCACAAGGAAGAAGGATTTGTAAGAAACGTGTTTGTGAAAGGAAAGACCTCAGGCAGCCAAGCTGCCTCCTGGTAGACAGAGCTCTGGCCTGGGAGGCAAAGGACCTGAGTTCTGGTTCCACTCTGTCCCTGTCTTTGTGTCTGGCCTTGAGCAAGGACCTGCCCCCTCTCTGAGCCTCCTCTTACCTCATCACCCAGTTCGTGAGGCTGAGGCTCAGCGAGGTTGGAGAGCATCCTGGCTCTGTGGGGGTCCCGCTGCCCTGGGTCTCTGCTTCAGCTCTATGCCCTACCCCTGCCCTGCCCCCACCCTAGCCTGGGCTCCTGGCCCCTTAGGAGCCTGTGTCCCTTCCCCAGGGCTGAACGAGTGTCTGCACAACAATGGCGGCTGCTCCCACATCTGCACTGACCTGAAGATCGGCTTTGAGTGCACATGCCCAGCAGGCTACCAACTCCTAGACCAAAAGACCTGTGGCGGTGAGACCCTCCTCTCATCCTTCCCCTGCCTCCCACCAAGCAGAGGCAGATCCTTCTGCCAGTTCTGACTTGGTCTCTTCCCCACAGACATCGACGAGTGTAAGGATCCAGACGCCTGCAGCCAGATCTGTGTCAATTACAAAGGCTACTTTAAGTGCGAGTGCCACCCTGGCTATGAGATGGACACGCTGACCAAGAACTGCAAGGCCGTCGGTACGGGCACTCTAAGGTGGGGGGTAAGGGGGCAGCCCCGAAAGGATACAGAAAGCAGCGTGCTCCCACCTATGTGAGGAGTAGATGAGTACACGTGGGCACACACACATGCACAAAGCAGGTTGCACACACAGTGCTTGGACTGTACGTGTACATCATACCCACAACGCATTGCACATGAGCACCCACACAGATACTGCACAGAGCCACCTGGTGTAGCCCGCAGAGACTGTACATGTGCCATACACGACATATAGACACAAGCTGGACCGTGCAGACTGCACACACAGCACTGGTAGTCCACACAGAGAGCATGACCTGGGCAGACCCACACATGGGTCAGCTCAGCTAACTGAATTCATCCTATTCCATTCTTTATATTGAACACCTAACGTTCCTGTAGGCATTGGGATTTGGCAAGAAGCAAAACAGACACTGATCCCTGTCTGCCCTCATGAGACTTACATCCTAGTGGGTGAGACAGACAAGAAATCTGATAAGTAAATGCAGTGCATGATAGATGGGGCTCCAAGTGAAAGAGGAATACAAAATGGGCAAGGGGAGAGGGAAGTCAGGAGGGCAGCGAGTTATAGTTTTAGATAGAGTGGTCAGGGAAGCCCTCTGGTTCATGAGAAGATGGCATTTGAGTTCAGACCTGGAGCAGGTAAAGGAAGGCGCCATTTATCTGCAGGAACTGCATTTTAGGCCAAAGGAACAGAAAGAGCAGAGGCCCTAATGCAGGAGCATGGCTGGTGTGTTCAGATAACAGCATGGAAGCCAGTGCAGGTACAGCAGGGAGCACAGGAGATAAATTCAGATAAGTGACTCAGGGCACATCACAAAGGCCTTCTAGACCATGGAAAGGACTGACTCTTGCTTTCAGTCCGAGTCAGGGGGAGGCTTTGGAGGGGTTTGAGTAGAGGAGGGACACGGTGTGCCTTCCATTCTCACAGGCTTCCTCTGGCTGCTGTGCCGGGAGGAGACTATAGGGGCAAGGGAAGAAGCAGGGAAACCATTTAAGAGGGTTTTGCCATAACCCAGAAGAGAGGTGAGCGTGGCTTGGTCCAGGATGTTCCGGTGCAAAATGATGAGAAGCAGACAGACTGGACATACTTGGAAGGTCAGGATTTATTTGGAAGCAACAGGACTTACTTACCAATTGAATGTGGGATGTGAGAGAAAAAAAAGTCAAAGATGACTCAGGTTTTGGGCCAAACAACTGGGAAAACAGGATCGCTCTTTACGGGGCTGGGGGAATATTAGACTCATTTGAGCATGTTACATGTAAGAAAGCTGTTTAGACATCTAGGCAGAGGTTGTGAGGAGTCAGTTGCACATAGGAGTCTGGAGTTCAGGTGCATAAATGCAATACACAGTTCATAGACTGACAGCACAGCAGCCATAGTAAATGACATGTAGCCCACAAACCCAAAACCGCACCTCAACTGCACCATATGCAGCCTGCACATCAGCACATCACACATAATATGTGGCTTGTTCTTACCCTGCCGTGGGACGCATGTAACCCACCCCACGAATTGTATACATGCAGTGGAAACACCCCCCAGCTGCCGTGTAATCACAAACCAAACCCCCGCAAATGAACATCTAAAGTGCAGTCACACGAAAACTCAGGTCGTCAGCACACTGGATGCCTGTCACAGACACAGCTCAGTAAAAATCTCCTCAAGACACCCTGTGAGCCTGCTCCTGCATGCTGCAGGATGGTGCCCCTTGCTCTCATTTTGGGGTGAAGAAAATCACACAGTCAATGGCAGGGCCTTAAAGTGGGCTTTCCTTCTTTCTCCTTCCTGTACCGGGAGTTTCTCTGGGCTCGCTGTTGGTACCACGCCCTCCCTCTCACCCCGACCCTGCTCCGTCACCACCCCTGGGTCACGGGCCCAGACCCCACATGGCTCCGTGCCCATCCTGCCCTGCCCCCCGGGCACACATCAGCTTGGCACAGATGCACAGTGAAAGGGACCATGTGGCCTGCACAAGTGTCAGCAGGAAAACGGGGACAAGGCCCAGGCAGCTCCAGGGACAGGTGTTTCCGCTCAGACAGTGCTGGTACCCGAGATGGCCTGATACATCTGAAAACAGGCTGGAGAAGTGGCAGCCAGAGTCAGGTGCTCGTCCCTCACAGGTCTGCAGCACAGGGGTCTTCCTACAAGCAGCCAGGAATGTCTAGGTCACTGGCGATCTTCCTAAAACATAACCTAAGTCTAAAAATGGGTTTTGTATGTGCACGGGTCATCGTGTGTTGTCTCCATCGTACGTATATGATCTGTCCCATGACACACACACCCCACCCCTGCTGCCAGCTCAGAGTAAAGTGCAAACTCTACACCCAGCGGACAGGACTCTGAAATCTGGCCGCTGGCAAGCTCTGAGGCTTCATCCATCCCTTGCCACGTCCCCACACACTCTACATCAACTGAAGACTCATGGGGACCTCCCCGAGTCTCCCCTGTTTCAACTCTCCCCCTAGCTCTGACACCTGTCCTCACACTGTAGCCTCAGTGTTCTCTCTAGAACACTTACTGCTCACCGTTGCCCCTTGAACTATTGTAGGGGGGCCCTGTGCAGGGAGGTTGGGGAGCAGCATGTTCTAGGTAAAGGGGACCACGTTAGAAAAGGCCCAAGGTGGCCAGACTCTGCCATGGCTCAGTGATGATGGGTGGCCTAGTGGCTGGAATGGAGGTGTGTTAGGGGGTGATTGATGAGGCCAAACAGGGAGCTTGGGGTCACACCACAGAAGACCTTCAGTGTAAGCCTAACAAGGGGGGCAGTACTAGAAGATTTGGGGGGAGTTTGTGTCTAATAAAGAGAAGGAAAATCATTCTGTTATACATAGTACTTTGTACCTCATGCTCTTCATACCCATTTTTCAGCTGCTCCTCTGTGAGGTAGGAATAGCCCCCCCTACGATGCCCCCATTTTGTAGGAAAATGAGGCATCACCCAAGCCACCCAGTGGCAGTCCCCTGCCTTTTGCACTGACCGGTTCTCCCAACCTTCCCACACGGCAGCCGGCAGAAGCCCGTCCCTGATCTTCACTAACCGGCATGAAGTGCGGAGGATCGATCTGGTGAAACGGGACTACTCGCGCCTCATCCCCATGCTCAAGAACGTGGTGGCGCTGGATGTTGAAGTTGCCACCAATCGCATCTACTGGTGTGACCTCTCCTACCGCAAGATCTACAGGTGAGCGGTGCCGGTGTCCTGTAGCCAGGCCTGGGCAGGAGTGGAGGCCTGAGAGGAGGGAAGGGATGGTGGCCACCGAGGCCAGACGGGGACTTGGGAATGGACGCAGGGTCACCGTGGACGTGGAGCTGCCAGGCCTTTTCCTTCCCCTGGGCTGGGCTGGGCTGAGAGCTCTGTAGGGAGAGCCCCAGGGACCCGGGCCTGACTGACCTCCGGTGGGCTGGTGGGGCAGAGCAAGACACGGCAAATGTTCCGCAGGGGCAGAAACGTTCTACCTCTGGCTTTGGTGAGGACTTTAAAAAGCAGCTCGTGTGTCTGTGTGTCAGTTTCGGGGGATGACTCTGGATGACCCAGTCAAAGGTGACTCCGACCTGGTCCTGCCTGGAGGATCACACTCATAACACAGTGACGTCTATTGTGGTGATCCTGAGGGAGAAGTGCCCAGGGGGGCCTTTTCCCCAGTATGGGGTGTCAGGGAACCCTTCCTGGCTGGCACTACCCCCAGTCTGGTGCCACCGTCCGTGGACTACGAGCCAGAAGTCCTCACACAACACGAAGAGGTCCTCTCATAGGTCTTTCTCAAATAGCACAAGCCCGCCTCCCTGAATGCCTGGGCTCCCTTTAGATGTCATGTCCTTTCTTTGTCCTGAGACCCACATGGCAGGACTGCTAATGACCAGGCAGCACTGGGTAGACTGTTAAAAGAACGATGGATGGATGGAGGGAGGGAGGGAGGGAGGGAGGGAGGGAGGGAGGGACGGACGGAGGGACGGAGGGATGGAAGGAGGCAGATTTACCACACCCCCAACATACAGACACATATTCAGTTCACACTCCCACACAGAAGCAGCTAGAGCCATGCCTGGCAAGCCAGTTATGCCTGGAAGAGGCAGAATTTGATGACAGATTGGCTATTCTGGGAGTTTCCAGTTTCTGGCTCAGGAGAATGGTGGTGGTGTCATTCTCTGAGATGTTAGCAGTGGAGGAGGATGGGGTCAGGGGGTTGACCATTCAGGCTGGCTGAGGGGAGGGGAATGGGGGGCGGGCAGTTTTGGACATGAGTTCAAAGTGTCCATGGGACATCTGAGGGGGGCCAGCCTGCTTTATAGTCCAGAGCTTAAGAGAGTTGTCGCAGTGGGTGAGTCAGAGTTCTGGGTGGCGGTGGGCACTATGGAACTAATCAACTAGAGAGAGGACATGAGGGAGAAGAGAGCCTTGGGAAGAACAGCATTTGGGAGACAGAAAGTCCTGTTAGTGTTGCCTCTTGAATGTCTACTGTGTTCTCAGCCCCTATTCTCCATTCTCACCGCCACAGCGTTTCTGCAGACTCTCCATCTCTCACCTGGAGGCTGTACTGGCCTCCTAGCCAGTCTCCCTGCCTTCATTCCCTCCCTTTCCCATGCATCAGTGCCACAGTGACCTAACATGCCTGTCTGGCCATGTCCTCTGACCTTTTCAATGACTCCCTCCAGAATAAAATCCTCACTGCTTAGCATCACCTGCAGAGCCTGTCAGGTCGTGGCCCCTGCCTACATGTACTTCCAGTCTGTATCCCACATACTCCACTCTACCCCCACTGAATACCAGAACACACACCTCCGGGCACTTGCATATGCTGTTCCTTCTGCTTTCTGCTCCTTGTGCTCTAGTGCAAGGACTCCTAGTGCTCTAGTCTTTCAGGACTCAACTAGAGAGCCTTCTGCAGCCCTTCAGGGTAATGGAGGTTCCATTTCTCTGCCGCTGTAGTCTCCGCTGCTTTCCGTAGTCACATTGCACTGTAATTACCTGGCTGTAAATTCCCATCCCCCACTAGCCTGAGCTCCTCCAGCCCTAAGGCTGTGGCTGACTCAAGCCTGTATGCCTGCCTTGGTGGCCCAGGAAATGTGTTGAATAGGAGGTAGCCAAGTTCTAAAATTCACTGCCATGGCTTAAGGGAGTTGAGAAAGGGAGAGGGCACCCAGAGAGCCCCGTGGCTGGAACACCTGCCCCATGGCCAGCTCTGATTGCTCCTAGCGCCTACATGGACAAGGCCAGCGACCTGGCAGAGCAGGAGGTCCTGATTGACAAGCAGCTGCACTCTCCAGAGGGTCTGGCGGTGGACTGGGTCCACAAGCACATCTACTGGACGGACTCGGGCAACAAGACCATCTCAGTGGCCACAATTGATGGAGGCCGCCGACGCACTCTCTTCAGCCGTGATCTCAGTGAACCCCGGGCCATCGCGGTCGACCCCCTGAGAGGGTGAGTGTCCCCGCCCCTGCCCCAGACTTCCCATTCCTCTACCAGTGGCACTCAGTCCTCATGTGTCTGTCACAAGAGCTCTCTTGAAGACCTTGGATGGCCGTGGGCCGCTCAGGCAGCCTAAGGGAAGAAAGTTCATGTGGGCCCTCAGACCGTTAACCCCTGACCAAGGGTTCTTTGGGCATTGGTCACCAGGCTTCACCTGGACTCCACCGCTTGCTCATCGTATCATAGACTCAGAGCATCTCAGAGCAGAGTTGGGCTCTAGAGATTGCCTAGTGGAAGCTCCTGGGCAGGAAGTCTTTCTTCAGGCTGCTGGAGGCCACAGGTGGGCATCTGGTGGCCCTCCCACACTCCCAGAGACAGGATTTCCCACTGGGGCTGTTTCATTTCAAGGTGGCTCTGCCCATTAGAGGATTTCGGATTTTTTTTCTCACGTTCTCAAATCTGCCTAACTTTGACTTTCTCCATTGGCCTCTGGAGTTACATCAAACATGTCTACTCCCTGCCCTGCATGACAGCCAGCAAGGTAGGAGACCAAGATCACTGGGTCTGCTCTGCTCCAGGCTGCCCACCCCTGTGCCCACAGTCTCTGGGCCCCTCACTACCCAGGCTGCCCTGCTCTGGCCACACCTCCCCGCCTTCCTCAGTGGGGATGTCCTTAGAGTGCATGGTTTTCAGCAGCTGTGTCATATTAAGTTTACCAGGGTCACTAGCTTCTTCCTGTTACTGTTTCCTTAGTTGTTGAACGGGGATAAGAAAACCCTCTTCTTCCAGTGAGGACAGCTGGGGTCCAGGGAGGCCACCTGAGAGAATGTGTGAGGCCCCGGGCAGTGACTTGACAGCTGCTGCTTACTGAACGTGCATAGGTGCACCCCTACAGATGCTCAGCTGTCTCACATAGCCCCCACTTCAGCCCTGCGCCCTGTGTGCTCCCCCACGCATAGTTATACCCAGCTCATCCCCGGTCCATTATGGATCTGTGAAGGTCCCAGCAGGAAACCCACCGCACACTCAAACAGATCATTTGAGGGGAGCTTAACAAGGGAATTATTTTCCAGAGGAATGGGTGAGGTCTAATGCAGTGTCCCTTACAGTGTGCTGGTGTGGCCCTAGGCCCGAGGGGCAGGAGCAGGGAGGAGTACCCAGGCTGGGAAGGGAGGAGGGTCACCTTCAGAGCAGTAGCCAGCCAGAGGCAACTTTGTAGAGAGGAGTCCAGAACAAATATTCTGACCTCAGTCTCTCCCGCCTTCTGCTCAGATATTTCGCTGAATGCAGCTGGAAGCCAGAAGGCTAGGGAGCCAAGCCCATTGACATAGTTTGCACATGGGTCGGTTTTTCGGTGTACAGAGCAGAACGGGGATGAGTAAAGAGCGAATCTAGAGTGGCTAACAGGAAATATCCAGGGCAACCACTCGGCTCCCCCAGCCTAGAGTCAGCCTTGGCTGGACAGCAATTTCAGCGAAGATGGTTTTTGGGAAAATTAAGCACACAGGCTTTCGAGCTCCACTTGAGGTTATATTTAAATGTGAAAGCTGGCCCCACTACTTATGAACAGTGTGATCCTAGGGAAGCCAGCTCCTCTGAGCCACAATTTACTCATCTATAAAATGGGACTAATAATGAAAACATTACTTTATTCAACAAATATTAAAATAACTTGTTCTGCATCGTGCATGAGCTACCTGCCAGGCACACAATGAGGCATGAGACAGATGAGCCCGCCCTCGGTGGAGCTTACAGACTAGGGGGGAGGATAGACAGTGAAACACACCAACTACCCAAATGTATACATAAATAAACTGGGTGAGTGCTAGGAAGGAAAGAGCCTGTGGTTTGAGAGATAACAACAGGGCGAGCCTACTCACAGAGAAAGGTTCTGTGCTGAAGAGGTGTTTAAACTGAGAAGTAACCAGGGGAAGAGTGGAGGAGGCCCGAGGCTCTGGGATGGCCTATCCGACAAAGGCTTGGTGCCCTATAGGAAGTAAGGAGCCCCGTTGGGCAGGTGAGGCGTTTGGAAAGCTGGGGATGGTGGCAGAAGAGACAATCAAAGAGGTAGGCAGAGGCCTGAGCATGCAGAACTCTGTCAGCTGTGGTAAGCATTTGAGGTTTTATTTTAAGAGCAATAAGAGAAGCCTCAGTAAAGTTTAAAAACTGGAGAGTGACAACTTGTTTCCTTCCATTTTTGAAGGCTCATTTGCCTGCTCTGTAGTGACTGGGTTGGAGGGGCAGTGATGACTGCATTTGTAAGTACGTGAGGTGAAACCACTCAGCTCAGTGCCTGCCGCATAGTAGGTACTCCATAAATGGCACACAGGAGGTACTCCAAAAATGTTCGAGGAAGAAGAGAGAGAAATCCCGGACAGAGTTCTAGCTGTGTGAACCTGGGTAAGCTGTCCACTTTTTCCTCTGTACACCAGGAAAGTAAGAGAAGGTTGACAAGGGCCTTTTTTGCTTTGGCTCTAGGCTCTGGTTAAAGCTACCAGAAGTGGGAGAAAGGGGCTCACAGAGGTTCAACTGAGGCCAGATGAGCTCTCGGGGAATACGGGCTTCCCCAGGCTCTCAGATGAGGGGAAGCTAGCACACCTGCTAACTCTTAGATTCGATGGTTCCAGTGGATTTCACAGTCCTTCCCAGTTCCCACCAAGCATCATCTTCAACATTCAGTGGATCATTGAGTGCCATGACACAGGCAGCCCTAACTTTGAACCCTGACAACAAGCACAACTGAGTTCTTCTCTCTTTCAGGTTCATGTATTGGTCTGACTGGGGGTACCAGGCCAAGATTGAGAAGTCTGGGCTCAATGGTGCGGACCGGCAAGCGCTGGTATCAGACAACATTGAATGGCCCAATGGAATCACCCTGGGTGAGCCCTGCCTTCCCTGGACTGGGGGACTGTCCAGGGGTCTTGTTTCTTTACCACGCCGATAGTGCCAGTGCCTGTATTTCCTGACAGTCCGTCCCAGGCTGGCCTCCGTCTGAGGCCGGGCCCAGAAATATGGGTAGGGAAGAGGGGACAGACAAGCAGAGATCCTGGTTGGGGTCCCAAACTCAAGACCTGATCCTCTTTCCTTTTCTCCTCCCCAAGATTTGCTGAACCAGCGCTTGTACTGGGTAGACTCCAAGCTGCACCAGCTCTCCAGCATTGACCTCAGCGGAGGCAACAGAAAGATGCTGATCTCCTCCCCTGACTTCCTGAGCCACCCTTTTGGGATAGCTGTGTTTGAGGTGAGCCCCGTGAGAGGAGACAGGGCCCTATCAGGAAACTGAAGCCTAGAAAAGTCTTACTCAAATAGATTAGCTCCCTGAGACTTATCTAAATGGAGACAAAGGGACAGGGAAGCTAGATGACTTGCATGTACACAGTGTGTGAGCTGCCTGCAGACAAAGGCCTCGCAGCCTCTTGTCCTGTGCTCCCTTCACAAGACCCCTTTCAGAGCCCTTCTCATGAGTGAGTTGCTAGCCCATGTGAGTTGCTAACCCTCAGCACCTGGCCCTGCAACCCCCATATACAGAAGTACCCAATAAAGGGAGAGAGGGAAGAAGGAATATACATTTTCTTAAAATCTACTGTTGGAAATAGCCAGAGAGATGCTATTCAATTCAGCACACTTTCACTGACCCTTGCTGGCCCCTGGGGTCATAGAAGTGAGTCAGACACCATCTGAGTCCTCACCAAGCTCCCCAGAAGGGGAAGAGTCAAGACCCCCCTGTACCTGTGTGTTCCGACCCCAACAACTTTTTTCCCTGGGGAATGAGGAAGTCGGAACCAACCAAGCTCTCGCACGTCTATCTCTTCCCCTAAACTAACTCTGCCACCAAGGGGAGGGAAAGCAAGGGGACAGTGGTCTATGGTGGGTGTTGGCAATTTCTGCTTGGAGTGACATCACTCAGCACTGCTCTGAAATTGTGGGCAAAGCCCCACCTCCAAGTCCAGCCCCTGCTTCAAAAGACAGGTGTGTTCAGACATGTGTATGTGCTTGTGTATATATGTGGCATGTACTTGTAAGGCATATATATGCATCCATTTAAAATTGTGCATTTCTCTATGTGCTTGTGCTTGTGAATACGTAACTATGTATACCAGTGCTTAGTTAAGTGTTTATATAGGTACAAGTGTGCCTTTGTGTGTGTAGATGAACATATGGGTGTGTGTCCAGATCTGTGCATGAGGCTGCATGGTTGTACCTGCAACTGTGGATTTGCCTACAGATGAGCCTGTAGGCTTACATGGACTAAACATTGGATGAGTACGTGTGTGGACCCAGACACTATAGGATGGCAGGGAATAGTCCTCCGTAGTTCATACATCCCCTCCAACCTTGGTCCCAGGCCCCAGGAATGGTAACAGCTATAAAGACCCAACCTTGGGATTCCGCTGGACTCTGGGAAGGAGGCCTAGCTCAGCATTAATGAGCAGTCTTCAGGCCAAGGCACAGAAGCAACAAATAACCTGCTGTGACAGAGGGGGCCCAGAGTATATGCCACAGATTAGAGGCTGAGAGTCTTCCTGTGACTCTGTGGGCAGGAGAGCTCAGGGGGAGGTGTCAGGGCAGTTGTTGTGACTATGGTTTGGGGCCAAGCCCTCAGACTGAGGTCATGGGCTTAGGCTCTAGCCCCCCATCCTCTGCATCTGTACCCCACAGGACAAGGTGTTCTGGACAGACCTGGAGAATGAGGCCATTTTCAGTGCAAACCGGCTCAATGGCCTGGAAATCTCCATCCTAGCTGAGAACCTCAATAACCCACATGACATTGTCATCTTTCATGAGCTGAAGCAGCCAAGAGGTGAGCCTTCCCTGGTCGCAGGTCCCCTGCCCGTGTCCTCTCCCTCCACTAGGCAGGCTGCGTTCACCTTCATGTAATGTAATGTCTTAGTACCCCCAGAAGGCATAGCAACAGTCCCTCTCATTGGTAGAGTGCTTCACTGTCACATATTTTATCTCATTTCCTTCAGCTCTTGGTGAAATAAGGCTAGGTATAAAAAAATATATAAAGCCCTATTTTTGCCTGCAAAGAGTGGGTATTACTTTTCTCATTTAACAACAGAGGAAACTGTGACTCAGAGAGGTAAAATAATGTTAGCAGGTGGCACAACTGAAACCCAGACTCAGGTCTGATTCCAAGAGCTCCTTCTACCATGAAGGAACACATTGCCTCTCATTTATTACGTGTACCCATTTTGCAGTAGTGTAAGCTAAGGTATCCTAGGGCCATAGCGGTCCAGCTTGTTGGTTGGGAATAGAAGCCAGGAATCCTGCTACTAGGTTGTCCCATCCTCTATCACTAGGATATAGTACTAAGTCTAACTGTAACCGAGTTGTGGTTGCCAGGGTGATAGTGGGAAAGCACAGCGGGGAAAGGAGATAAGCTTGGTGCCTGATTCTGGATCCAGAAATTCAAATAAGAAATAGACATAGGGGCACACGGGTGGTTCAGTCGTGTTAAGCATCTGACTTCGGCTCAGGTCATGATCTCATGGTTTGTGAGTTTGAGCCCCGCATCCGGCTCTGTGCTGACAGCTCGGAGCCTGGAGCCTGCTTTGGATTCTGTGTCTCCCTCATTCTCTGCCCCTCCCCTACTTGTGTGCACTCTCTCTCTCAAAAATAAACAAACATTTAAAAAGAAATAGACATGGCATATGGCAGAGGGGGGAAACACAGGCTTTGGAATTAAACAGACTTCAGTTTTTTTTTTTGTTTTTTTTTTTTTTTAATGTTTATTCATTTCTTAAAGAGAGAGGGCATGAGCAAGTAAGGGGCAGGGAGAGAGAGGGAGACACAGAACTTGAAGCAGGCTCCAGGCTCTGAGCTGTCAGCACAGAGCCTGACGCGGGGTTCAAACCCACAAACCGCATGATGATGATGACCTGAACTGAAGTTGGACGCTTGACCGACTGAGCCACCCAGGCGCCCTGACAGACCTCAGTTTAAATCCTATCTCTGAAATCCCTAGAGTTATAACTTTGACGAGCTTGTTCTCTTTGAAACTTGGTATCTTTTATCTGTCAGTCTGGGACATACACCCACCTCTCTGAGTCGTCATCAGGATTGAGTGAAAGTGTGGGGGTAAAACACCAGACACAGTGCTGGAAGGTGCCCAATAAAAGCAGGGAAAGCTCCAACTCTGTCTGTCTCTGTCTCTGTGCTATTAGCTGCCGATGCCTGCGAGCTGAGTGCCCAGCCCAATGGAGGCTGTGAGTACCTGTGCCTTCCTGCTCCCCAGATCTCCAGCCCCTCTCCCAAGTACACATGTGCCTGTCCTGACACAATGTGGCTGGGCCCGGACATGAAGAGGTGCTACCGAGGTAAGCAGACCTACCAGGAGGGCTGGTCCCTGGCAGTGTGAGACCGCCTCCTGCTGGAACTTTCCATGGGCTTCCAGGATGACATAAGCTCCTGGTTTTCCTGTCTTCTCTGGCTGCTTATTGCCTTTGCAGGCTCCTCTTCCTTACCGTCCTTGAGTGCTGGTTTCCCCAGGTCCTTCCAAGGCTTCCTCCTCTTACTCCCAGGAAAAGTGCACGTATACATACAACATTTTAAATTCGGTTTCAGGGGGTTTCTGGAACCCCTTGAAGACCTGAGATTAAGAGCCCTTGATCCCTATGGCTTCAGTTACTGTTTATATGCAGGTGACTATGAACTTGCCTCTTCCTCACCTAGAACTTAACACAAAGAGAAGCCCTTTTGTGTTATGGTTGGGACTGATAGTCAGTACTTTGGCCATACAAGTTTATATTCATCGTCCAGTGTTGATACAGAGCCAAGGCCTTTTGTTTGAACGTAAATCTTCTGCATCATTTGGGATTTCCACATTCGGCTGTTTAAAGGGGAGTGAGAATTTCAACCTAGCAGTGTAATAATATGCATGTGAAATCTTTCTAGATTTGTATGATTTCCCTTACTCCCAGTCTTTTACAGTGGACTTGCCAACACCTAATTCTATGGTCTTGCTTTAATGACTTGTCCTAATCAAGTCAGTGTGCAGTATAAACACAAGGTGTTTGGGATTCGGCTAAAGAAAAGGTCATAGCCTATTCAGATTTAGGAAAGGCTTCCCAGAAGTGGCCTTTGAGCTGAGCCATGAGGATGAGTTCATAAGTATAATTCATAGAGGCGAAAAGTTAGGCATAAAGCAATGAAACTCTCTGTCCAAGTGACCTCTGCGGTATTTCGCCCCCAGCCCCTCAATCTACCTCAACGACGACGTTAGCTCCTACCACAACGAAGACTCTAGCCGGCCCCGCAAGAGCCCCTGGGACCACCATCCACAGCCTCACCTACCAGAACCACAGCACAGAGACACCAGGCCTGGCAGCTGTGGTCCCCAGCTCAGTTAGTGCCCCCAGGGCTCCCAGCACCAGCCCGTCTACCCCAAGCCCTGCGACCAGCAACCACTCCCAGCACTGTAAGTAAACGAGTTCTGTGTTCTTTCATGACATGGGGGGGGAGGGGGGAGAGGGTTGTGTGGGAAGAAGAGATCATGCCAGAGTATTGGACCTCTCTCAGGAAACAGGTGGAGGTGCCCACCTACTATTTAAAAGTCTTACGTGCCACTGACTCGTAGAGGGTCTTGCAGAAAGCCACTTCCTACCTCTGAGCCTCAGTTTCGTCACCTACAAAGCGGGAATAATAATTACCCTTCCCCTACATGCTTCACAAGATCGCCAGGACAGACAAAGGAGGCGGTGTAAACAGAAGTACTCGTGTACACAGCCTCTTCTCTCCCTGGGTGTGTGTTTTATGTGTTACTGACGTGTATGAGGGCATGTCCCCCAGATTTAGAAACCTCAGAAGCTCTGGTCTCGGTTCTTAGCCCCTGTGGCAGGTTCCCCAGATGCTAATATCCATAACTATGGTCTGCTTATGCCTCCTTCCAAACCCTGGCATGAAAATAATTAAGCTTAGCACTTATTAAATCATTGGGAGCAGTAAATGTCACTGCTAGAAATGTTCTGTCTCATTAGCCAGCAAATACCTGTTTAATTGAGTCACCTGCCAGGGAGAGTTCATTTGTGAAGATAAACCGTCTTTTACATTTTTATCCCGTACGTGGCCCAGACGCCAGGCAGCTTGGCAGCACCTCCCTCATTGGACCCAACTTGCTGGCAGAGGCTGGGTTTCCAGAGCAGAGCACTCACCTTGAAGTTTGGAGAGGCAGGTGGCACCCGTGTGAACTTCAGTTCTTGTCACCCAGGGCACAGCCTCGGAGCAGGAAGCCTCCCCACTGGCTCCCTGCCGCTCTGGGCTTGACTGCTGCGGTCCAGCACTTCCTCATATGCAGCAAGGGGGTAGCAGTGCTACCCTTCTTTTTCTCCCCGTGACACTTAGGCTCCCTTAGAGTCACTTGGAGAAACAGGCACGCTGCGATGGCGGCATCCGGGCCATTGCCAGGGCATCGTCTGCCCTCTTGGAATGAATCTGGCTGGTGAAGTCCCTCTTCACACTTCAGAGGGCCATCAGTGGATCCGAAACAACAGCTTCATAAATTAAAAAGTGCTACAGAGGTGTTCCCATGAAGACAGTTTAAAGAGTAGAAAAGATGGCACAGCATACTTTAAAAATACAGTACATTTTCCAAGCCCTTTTCAGTTTAGAACATGCCTTTATATACTTTATTAGGCCTCAAAACAACCCCTACCCCACTCCCCACCCGCTTTGAACCAGGCAAGGCTGTGCCAGACACTGTGCTAAGTAAGAAATTCTCTCCCTTGATCTTTGCAGCGTCCGTAGGAGGTAGGTAACTTGCCCACACAAGTAGGTGACCCGTCCAAACCCAGGAGCCTGTGCTGGTGATTCCACTATGTTCTGTTGCACCCCATTTTAATTACTTATTGAAAATAGGCTGGTGATGCAGATGGACAGAAAGACCACCGAAACAACAGAGACCAAGTAATAGATACTGGCTGGCAAAGGCAGTTGCCCTAGTCGGTTAGCAACATGGAGACCTAAGTGCTCACTCTGCCCAGCACCCCACCCCACCCCACCCCCACCCCAACCCCACCCTGCCCAGCTTCCTACCACTGTGATGCTGTGGGAAGGGTAAGGGACTTGGGGCACAAGTCCTGGGTTTGGGTCCCAGCTCTGTAGCTTTTCTGTGAGTCCCCAGAACCCCAGTAAGACTGGGTGTCCCCATGTGTGAGAGTGAGATAACCTCTGTCCTGCTCACCTCAGGGGAGTTTTGATAGGCTCTGGAAAGACCTCATTGTTAGGCGTTAGCCAGGATCATCACTTTGGACCGAGGGCAGGAAGCAGTTGGGTAGTTCTTATGGCTTGAGGCCAGCGAGGACTTGCGCTCACGGTGACGGAGCAGCGCTCTGCACATTTGTGTTTTGCAGATGGGAATGAAGGTGGAAAGATGGGCTCGACAGTGACTGCTGCCGTCATTGGGATCATCGTGCCCATGGGTGAGTGTGGCCGGAGTCACTGTGTAGAAGAGAGAAATGGTGCTCAGAGTCTGGAGAAAAGCACTAGAAAGGCAGAGCACTTAGCACATGGACCTATCCCATTGACTTTTTCTGTCCCAGCAGCCTCCCTCCCCACCTCACCCCCCCACTTCCCAGTCCTATAATTTGGTTTCTGAGCCTGGCACACAAGGCCCTTCAGGACCTGGCCCCAGGCGGCCCGGCCCAGTGCATCCCCGCTCCCCACCATTCACACTCTGTATGCCAGCCATGTGAACGCAAGCTGTAGGTTCGTTGGGAACAGGGCTAGAGCTTCTCTTGCTCCCCTCTCTCCCCAGCTCCTAGCAGTGGCTGGCACATGGTAGGAAATAAAGTATTTGTGGAATTAATGAGGAGAGCTACTTGCCATTCCTTTAGTAGATCATGCTATTTTGCTTTCTTTCTGTTTGGTTTTCTTTTTTTTTTTTTTTTTATTAATATTTTTATTTTATTTCTAGGATAGAGAGAGACAGCGTGAACAGGGGAGGGTCAGAGAGAGAGGGAGACACAGACTCTGAAACAGGCTCCAGGCTCTGAGCTGGCAGTCAGCACAGAGCCCGACGCGGGGCTCGAACCCACGAACCGCGAGACCATGACCTGAGCGAAAGTCGGACGCTTAACCGACTAAGCCACCCGGGCGCCCCTCTTTCTGTTTGGTTTTCAACAAACATTTATCAAGCAGCTGCAATGTACCAGACTCTGTGATAAAGTGGAGGGAAGGTGATTAAAAACAACTAGGACATGATTCCTCCCCTGCAAAGGTTAAGTCTTGTCGGAGACACACACATAGCAGACAATTTGATTATGACAGGGGAAGTCCTAAAATGAAGCCATGTGTGGTCCAGAGGAAGCACTGAAGAAAGACTTAACTTGGAATCAGGAGAGAAGGGAAGTGGGTAGGGAGGGTTTCCTAGTGGAAACGATAATGTGAACTGAGTCAGCCAAATGAAGAAGAATCCAGAGCAACCTAAGCAGTGAAAACAGCATGAACGAGAGCCAGCAACAGGAAACAGCATGGGGAGGGGAGAGAGTGGGTTTGGAACTAAAAGTTCAATATGGCCAAACTATAACAGTTGGTGAAACCTCACAGAGAACCATGGAGGCCGATTTATTCTCTCCCGTGCCGTTGTTCACCTAGTATCCAGAATATCCTGTGTCTTATACCAGTCTCATCTCTTGGTGGGATCTTTGAATTGCAACTGCCCATCTATAAGTTGATCTCCCTGGCTTGCCCATGAGCCCCTCAACAAGGACAGGGATTTTGCCCATTTATTGCAGGACTCCCAAGTATGGTGGTGAGCTAGTGAGTAATGTTTTATAAGCTTCTACCCCGTGCAAGAGACTGTGCCAAGTGCCAAAGACCCAGGGAAGAAAAAGATAAAAGACTTGAAGAGCTTTCAATTTCTAATCAGACTAGTCATAAAAAGAGATACAAGAGAGGTGTTAATACATATTACGGTGTGCTGTCATGGAAGCATGATGCCCAGCAGAAGAGAGGGCACGGTACTTCTGGAGAAGACGCCATTTGAATTGGCCTTGAAAGTCTTCAACACTAAAGATGATGGAGAGACTATTTCAGGCTGATTTGGAGCCGAGTGCATGGAAAATACTCTGAACATTGTTTAGTGAAAGAGACATCAAGCCCTTTCCTGCCACCCTCTACTCTATAGAAGGGCTTGTATATGCTCTTTCCCTGACATAAGCCACTCTGATATAATTAATATTTTTAATTTCTGCTCATCTGAGAGGTTAAAGATGAATATTCTTTCCTTGATATTTCCCTATGAAGTAGAGTGTCTTTTTATAAGCTTAATGGCCATTTATATTTCATCCTTAATTAATTGCTTATTCACAGTCTTGTTTTTCTATTGGTTCTTGATCTTATTCCTACTCATTTGTACAAATACTGATATATAATGAATATGAAACCATTGTGACAGATGTGACAAATATCTTCTCCCATATTGCCTCTTGATTTGTAAATGTGTTTATGGTATCTTTTGCCATGCATAAATTCAAAAATTTTAAGTATCAGATCTGTTCATCTTTTGTGTTATGACTTCTAGGTTTTGTGTTTTACATAGGAAGGTCTGCCTCACTACAAATTATTAAAATATCTCCCCATATATTCTTCTACTAAATATTGTTTTATGTTTAGATAGTAATCTATTTGGAATTTATTCTAGAGTATGGTGTGAGATAGAGATGGAACTATTTTTTTCTTCTACAGGCCTGTTTAGTTTTCCCCTGACCATTATTGAATAATTCATCCTTCTGACTTGAATCGTCATCTTTATAGTAAACTACATGGCTCTCCAGACTTTGATCTGCTGCTAGCCTTTTTATTCTCTTTCACCAGTTATCTGCTCCTACAAACCTGAAGAACAACTTCGTGCTAGGCTTTAATATCTAATAGGGCATTATTATTCTTGCAATGTTTTCTTAGCTGTTTTTTTCTGACTTCTCTTCTAGAATAAACTTCAGAATCATCTTTATAAAAATTATTATGGAATCTTAAGTCTTGGATGTATAAATTGATATGGAGAGAGTTCATGCTTCTATGTTATTGAAGCTTCCCATCCAGGAACATAACGCATATCCCTATTTATTTGAGTCTTTCAGGTCTTTCTGTAAAATTTTATAGATCAGATCAGAGTTGCACATTTCCTATTCGGTTATTCAAGGTATTTTACAGTTTTTGTTGGGCTACTGTGAATGTGTTCTGTTCTTATTCCATTCCATTTTCTAATTGGTGATTGCTAATTAATAAGGAAGCTGTTGACTTTTTGTTAATTTTTTAAAAAATGTTTATTCATTTTGAGAGAGGGAGAGCATGAGCAAGGGAGAGTAGAGAGAGAGAGAGAATCCCAGCACAGGGTTTGATCTCATGAGCCATGAGACCATGACCTGAGCCAAAACCAAGAGCGGGATGCTTGACTGACTGAGCCATCCCAGCACCCCTTCTGTGAATTCTTGATGAACTAAAATTATTTCTAATAGTTTTTCATCTGCTTTTCTAAGATTTTCTAAACATGCAAAACTGATAATAAACACAGCTAGCTATTCCCCCTTTCTCCTATGTGTACCCTTCAATTCTTTCTTTGTTCTTACAGCATAGCTAGGTCTCTGGAACAAAAAATAGTAGCAACGGTAACAGGGATCCTTGCCTTGTCCCTGTCTTTAATGGGTCTTGATTATTCCAGTCTAACCAAAGTAAAACCCCCTCTCTAGCATGCTGGACAGCTGTCACCAGGCTCCACCTGAATGTTCATGGTCATTGCCGACTACCTTATGCAGCTGCTTGCCCCAGTTTTGCCCGGTTCTGTCTGAGAACTTCCTCCTTCACTCATGAATATATTCATCTATTCCAGCTCAGAGCCTGTGTTTCCCTGCTGTGTCCACCTCTAGGGATGCTTCTCTTCTTGCAGCTTTGGAAAGAAACACCCCACCCCTCCATTCACCCTCCACTGGGGGAGAGAATGCTTCCTTAGAGAAATCCAAGGAAGTAGCAGTGTTAGGGCAGAGGTGTGGTGAAGAAACTTACTCATTCACTCAGTACACATTGCTGAGCAAGGCCCCGGGCATAGAGAGATAAAGGAGACACAGTCGCTGCCCAAAAATAGCTCAGTCTAGCTGGGTACACATACATGAAGTACAGTACCGTGGGCTAGGGACACACGTGAGGGAGCAGCCAACTTTTCCTTGAGAAGTTGAGAAAACTTCATTTGAGTTGGATCTCGAGGGCAGAGCAGTTAACAAAGGAAGGGAGAGGAGAAGGGCTCCGAGCAGCAGAAAAAGAACACAGCACCACAGCCCGAGGAGCAAGGGGCAGGAGAGTTAGAGAGGTGGTAAGAAACGCACTGACATCTGAGCAGTGGGCTAGAGCCTGCTGGAAGTTCAGTGTAATGTGTCCCTTCCTCCAGCGGTAATAGCCCTGCTGTGCACGAGTGGCTACCTGATCTGGAGAAACTGGAAGCGGAAGAACACCAAAAGCATGAATTTTGACAACCCAGTGTACAGGAAAACAACAGAGGAAGAAGACGAAGATGAGCTCCACATAGGGAGGACTGCTCAGATCGGCCATGTCTATCCTGCAGTAAGTATCCCCCGCCAGAGAATCCCTTCCTTCCTTACGTCCTTCCTGCTCTTCCTCCCTCCCCCCTTCCCCCCCTCCCCCCCTCTCTCCCTCCCTTCCTTCCTTCCTTTCTTCCTTTCCTTTTCCTCCCTCTTTCCCTCCCTCCCTTCCTTCCTTCCTTCCGTCCTTCCTTCCTTCCTTCCTTCTTTCTTTCCCTCCTTTTTCCCTCCTTTCCTTCCTTCCTTATGTCTTTCCCTCTCTTCCTCCCTTCCTCACCCCTCCTTCCTCCCTTCCATACCTCCTTGCTTCCCTTTTTCCTTCCTTTCTTTCCTTCCTTTCCTTTCCCTTCCTTCTCTCCTTCCTTTCTTTCTTCATTTCCTCCCTCCCTTCCTTCCTTCCTTCCTTCCTTCCTTCCTTCCTTCCTTCCTTCCTTCCTTCCAACTTTATCAAAAACCTACCATGTGCCAGGCACTATTTTAGGCCCTGGGGACACAGAGATGCTGGGGCAGGTGGTTGGGGTAGAAGTGTATAAGGACCACCTTGTAGCTAGAGGCTCTTCCTTAGGGTAAAGAAGCCTACTCTTTCTGCTGAGTAAGTTTTCAGAACCTTTGGCCCGGAAGGGTAACTGTGGCCATGCAATTCAAATTTATTCATTTCAACAAACACTGTATGCTGGCCGTGAGCCAAACACCACACTGAATGTGACTGTTCACAAGTAAGAAAGGAATGTACTGCTTCCAAGAAGCTGGTGGGGGGTGAGAGAGAGTCACTTACTAGTGTACGGATGTGTGTGTGTCGTGCCATGGTGGAGCTCAGGAGTCTCTCTTCCAGGAAGCTTTCCCCGGTTTCTTTGTTCTCCCACAGCCTCTGTCCATCACAGCACCTGTCACGCTGTAGTCAACTTGTCTTTTTGCTCATTGGTCTCCCCACTAGACTGTGAACTCCTTGAGGGCAAAGTTGTCTGATTAATGTTTCCCTAGTGCCTCGCACAGCATTAGGTGGCTCCCAGTACATATTTTCAGGACAAATGCTATGGAAACACCAACAGGGGAGCTGTTAACTCAGTTTGGGAGATCAGGCAGGGAATGCCTCACAGAGGCTGTGACAGATGAACTGTGTCCTTGAAAGGCTAAGAGCAATTTTCCAGCAAGAGGAGGAGGAAAATGGCATTCCAGAAAGAAGCATGTGCAAAGGCTGAGGGGTACAATAGGGCGTGGCGTGTTGGGGGAGCAAGGACCGCAGAGTGGCTGGAGCAGATGTCATGGTTGTATAGCAGAGTCAGGGGGCTGAGTGTGACCTCATAGGTCATCCAGTCCGTTCCCCTGTCAGGCGATCAGCAGCTTTGATCACCCACTGTGGGCAGAGCCCTGTCCTGGGGAGACCAGAGAACTGGAAGACCCAGCCCCTGCCCTCAAGGAGCTTTTTGTCTTGCCGGGGGAACCAAGGTCACAGCTGCACCAACTCCCGAAGAACCCTCTTTCCGAGCTGCCTGCCGTCAAGTGCAAGGTAGGGCAGTGCCACTTTGAGTCTGAGGGGCTGGTGAGTGAGGGCATGAGGCTAGGCAGATGCAGCCAATCCCAGGCGGCTTTCTGGTCCTGGAGGGCTGCCAATTGTAAGCTGGGTGTCGGGGCAAAGAGGAAAGATGAGTTCGTTGCTGACCAAGGAAAGGGTCTGTGGAAGAAGTCATCAAGTACGGGGCAGGGCAGTGTGCTTTGTACACTGTTCGTGGGAGTGTACATGGGAAGGGAGACATGGGATGTGAAGTTGAGCAAGTGAGGAGGGTCAGCATGGCCTTGAGCCTTCGCTTCAGCCAATCACACAAACAGGTGTTTGGCCAAGTCTTAAAGACGGGCGGGGGTGGAGACACCATGGAAGAAGCGTTGAGCTTAGCCTGAGGAGATGGCTCCCCGTGTCACTGCTCTGCAGCCTTGTGGTCTCAGTCAGTTCTCTCTGCTCACTTCTATTTGTAAAATGGGAATGATAACCCCCATTCTGTCTGCCTCCTAAATCCATAGCGTTCAGGCGAGACAGCTCACGTGAGAGAGCTTTGCGAGTTACAAAGCACTCTACACATGTAAGGTGGCATTGTGTCCCCACGAGCAAATTCCTACTCTGGAGGAGCTATTCCTGATGCATCGAGGGCCTGAGGAATAAGCTCTTGCCAGTTGCAGAGAAACAAGAGAGGGAGGAAATCGATATTTAGTGAGAACTTCCTGTGTGTCAGACACTACTCTGTGTTTTACATACATTTCCTTGTGTATGTAGTCTTCACAGTAACTTTCTAAAGTTGATATGATTAGCTGCATTTTGCAGATGAGGAAACTGAGACTTGGAGAATTTGAGTAACTGGCCTCGGGTCACAACTAAGAAGCAGCAGAACCAAGTTAAAAATTCCAGTCTGTATGTACACAAAAGTCTGTGTCCTTTCCACTTACATCATGGGGCAAAAGGCCTGGAAGCTTGTTCAGTTTCCTCAACAAGCCATTCTCCCCCCTGTCGTTGTCTCGCTCCACCATCACTTCTGGGACCGACCTTTGGCCTAGAGATCTGTCTTGGAGAGAGTGGGAGGGGAACCGGACGAGAAGAAGAGAGTCTCAAGTGTCAGTGCTAGCAGAGCAAGGCCATGGTATTCTTGTGAAACCGCAGATAACCCAAAGATGATATGAAAGGCTTTGGGGTCACTTTTTATTGTCTGTAGGCTGTCTGGTTCTATTTTATTATGCTGGCCCGGTTGGTCTAGAATGCTCTGGACCTCATGTGTGTTACTGTATTAAGCACCCTAGAGACATTACCTCATTTGGTTCCTCAACAACCCTATGTGGTATGTCTTGTTATTCCCATCTGACAGATGATAAAACCAAGGCTCAGAGAGGTGAAGCGGTTAGCCCAGATTCACTTAGCTATGAGAAAGAAAGCAGGATTACATCAGGCCCAGTTGGGGAAAGCTCGATGTGTATGTAGCCTGGAGGAGAAAACACTCAGAAGGAAAGGAAGAGAGCTCAAACAGTGTCCGCATGTTTCAAGGGCTATCTGTATAGAACCCTCTGAGTCTAAGAGAAACAGGGAACATCAGAAACAGATTTCATGTCAGTATAGAAAAGAAGTTAAGTCCACTGTCCACTGTTCCAATGGAATAGACCAACTTAGGGACTAATGGGTTCAGCCCGGTAACAGTCAGCCATTTGTGGCAGGGTAAGTCTAGCATCTAATGACTGGAAAGTAAGGTTGAGGGAAAGAGGGATTGAATTTAATCAACATGTATCACATTCTGATTCTGTATAATCCGTTAGAAGGGGTGCAGCAGATTGCCTTCCTAATTGTGACTCACAAGCTAGAGACAAGTGGCTAATGGCCTGGGATTAAACATTTGCCAAAGCTAAACCTCTGAAGTTGAATAAGCCTAAAATCCTATAAGGAAGGACCGAGAAAGTGGAGATCTCTGCAGGGATCCTTTACAAAGAGGCAAAAGCTACAACTCTGGATTCACACAGATCTGGGTTCACCCACTTGCAATGTGATCCAGGACAAATGTTTTTAAAGCTCATCGAGTCTCAGTTTCCTCATCTATAAAATAGATACGACAGACCTTCTCTTGGGATAGTATGAAGATTATGTGAGCTAATGCCTATAAAGTAATAGAATATCTGGTGCCTTGTGGGCGCTCAGTAAATAGCTCCTGTGGGTCTAATGGTGATTTCTTTGCTCTGTCTCCCCAGCGAGTGGCATTAAGCCTTGAAGATGATGGACTGCCCTGAGGATGGGACCACTCCCTTCGTGCCTCATGGAATTTGGTCCCATGCACTACACTCTCTGGATGGTGTATGCCTGGATGAAAGGGTTTTCTGTATATGGGTCTGTGTGAGTGAGTGTATGTGTGTAATTTTTTTTTTAATTTATGTTGCGGAAAGGTAACCACAAAGTTATGATGAACTGCAAACATCCAAAGGATGTGAAAGTTTTTATATGTATAATGTTTTATACACTTTTTAACTGGTTGCACTACCCATGAGGAGTTCATGGAACGGCTACTGCTGAGTGACTAACACGATGTACATAACCAAATGGGGCTGACAGTCCAGTAGCTTACTCATTGTTTTAAAACTATATTTACAGAGGGTATTTGGTTTGGGGGGGCTTTTTTAGGTTTTGGAGTTTGGGGTTTGATTTTTTTTTTTTTTGGTATATAAAATGATTATGCTTTGTGGCTATCCATCAACATAAGTAAAAAAGAAAATACTTCAACTCCCTCCCCCATTTAGATTATTTATTAACATATTTCAAAAATAAGATTAGTTCTATAAATAATTTAGAGACATGAGAGTATTTATTTTTGGTATGATTGGCCCACCATGCAGACTCTGTGTGCATTTACGTTTACATGTGTATGTGTGTGAGAGAGAAAAATCTGTAGAGGAGAGGCGCACCTGTGGCTGTTGTTCAAGTACATAAAGATAAAGTATATTGTAAAACAGTCCACAGAGGGGTATCTGTAGTTTTCAGAGAAGCCTTTGGAAATTTGGCTCAAAAAAACAGATGCCATGGTTTGTGCAAACATGAGGTGGGAGAGGCAGATCTTGTCCACCTCTGGCAATTCCCAGGACCCCGGTCAGTCATGAAAGGCCTTGCAGTTCACCTGTGGCTGCCATGACTCCCACTTGAGCTCTCCCTTCTGTGGCTGAGGCCAGTGCACAGACTCTGCACAGTGCCAGGAGGTCTCTTGAGCTCACGTGAGAACCTGCCTGAACCTCGGCTACTCCTCGTTTTAAAGCTCGGCATTTCAAGTAACTGCATTTTCCTTCAGGATACTTGGGCTGAATTCATTATGTTTCCTCTGAAGCACTCTAGGATGCCATCCTTACTTGTAGAGAGCTAAGTGGAGACATTTCTAGAACAGCCCAAGCTTGCTGTAGAGACTGGCTTAGGCACTGAGCCATGCTCAGCCTCTGAGACATGCTGTGGGTGACGATAGGACAGTGAGATAGGTTTTCTTACTTCTCTCTCTCTCCCTTTCTTTACTCTCTGCCATTTCCTTTAGGTGGGGAATACAACGTAGGTTTGCTACCATCATGTGTTCATACCGATGAAACTCATTTTTGGCTGAAGTCAGAAAATGTGGCCAAAGTTGAAGTCCTACTGAGGGAGAAATGGCATACACAACATTATAGTATATTGGATATATATGTTCAAACAGGGATTTGGTTCACTGCTTTGTAAATAAAAGGAAAAACTCTGGGTATATGTATAGATTTTTTTTTTTCATCATGGACACTTTTCTTTGTTTTTCCTGCCTTGGGAGAGATGGGAGAAATGCTCTTTTCTCTTTGTGGGGTCTACCACTGAAAACAGAGTCCTGTAGTCCCGGAGGAATTCTGTCCTCACTGGCTCTCTTATCCGAGGTTTGATCTTTTCTTAACTCTGCTGTTCTGTCACTTCACTCCCACCAGACAGCCAGGGACAAGACATAAGCAAATTCTGACACCACCCACCCCCAGCTGCCCCCAATTCAATGAAGTTTGGATGCCTTGGTACCCTTCAAATTTCCAGGCAGGCACTCTGGAGTTTTAGAACCCTGTTCCTAGGACCTTTCTCCACGTCACTCATGGTCTCCTAACTTCTGACAAAAACAACTGTGTTTTGGAGCCTCGGCACTATGCTCTGCATAAACGAGCAGTTTCCTTCATGATAAGCATGTGTGGATAGTCCTGAAATATTCATTGAGAGGCAACTGACCTAGAATGACCAGTACCAAATAGGATTTTAAGAACAGGTGGCCAACTCCTATGGAGCTTAATCACTTACTACTATTCTTTCAAGAATGAAAATTATTTTTGACTGAATAAAAATGACAAAAAAACCATTGAGATTTACATGAAACAAGCAACTTTTTCAATAACCTGCCTCCAAAGAAATAGAATTTCCTGGGGACATGAGAACAGTGACTAATGCGTAGTTTCAGTCAGATCCAGATTCACAGAAAACAAATCATGAGCAAAGTCAGGATGGTTCCGCCTGAGATCTCAAAATGATGGTGAAACACAACTTTCTCAGAGACATCCATGTTTCCTGAATATGTTACAACTGCCGTTTGAAAGAGACGCAGGGGAGCAACCTGCGGAAGACACGTTGCGGAATACTCCACGTGTTGGATGGTAGTCAATAAGATGAAATCTGAGGAGGTCACGTCCATCCTCCCTCCCTAGTCTTGGAGGCTTCTGAGCTTCATTTTGAGGTATAGTTGCATTTCTGTTGCCTTTTGCCTCTGTGCTCTCCTGTATCTACAGCCAATACCAGATCATAGAGTCATTGGACTTTAGAGCTGGAAGGAAGCCTAGAGATAATGCCAGGTGGGTAGAAGATTTGTCAAACATTTTCTTCTCTGTTTAAAAGAAACTGGTCCCAGGCCTTTTCCTCTTTTTCCTTCTCCAAGAGACTACTTTCAACTGCCTGAATATTATACCAACCCTGCTGCCTATCTTATGGCCTATCTTTCCAGTGGAATTATGAAGACACTGGCAGAAGGAGCCTTCCAGAAACAGAAAACTAAAAGTTTATTTATTTACTCTTGATAGCATGATTATTTATAAAATAGGTTGAGGTGACCTTTAACCTCGAGATGGGAATTCAGCTTATGGCAATAAGTACTATAGATCCTTCCAGCTTTCTCTGTGATTGCAGTGGTATTCACTTACCGAAACCAATTGCTAGGTACCAACTAAGTGCCAGGCACTGCAGATGTACAGGTCAATCAAATGTTTTCTGTCCTTATGGAGTTCACAGTAAGAGTAGAGTAAGACATGCGGAACAAAGAGAATAGATTCTTTCCAGAGTATATTAAGGCACAAAGGAGGGATAGGTCACTTCTACACAAGGAGATGAGGAATGGGGTCAAGAAGGGCATTGTAGAAGTGACCTTGTGCTAAGTCTTAAAAACTAAGGGGTGTCCAGGCTGCTTCCGGCAGAGGAGACACAGAGGCATGAAACAGCATGGGGACTTTACGGAGCTGCACGTAATTCATTGTAATGAGCAGAAGGCTCAAGGGGGACTTAGCAGGAAAGGAGGCTGGATGGAAAGACAGGTTCAATGTAAGCACTTTATAGAATACTTATGTTTAATTTCTGATTCAATTATGCAAACATTTCTTAATTGTTTATTGTGTACGAGGCACCAAGTGCACCACGGAAAATTCATCAGGATGCATCGCCAGCGCTTTGCAGACAGGACAGTCTTTAGCCTCAAGCGTTCTAGTGGCCAAAGGGAAATAGTGACTACATTTCATACGTTTGAGTTGACTTTTTTTGAGTATAAGGGTAATGGAATTTTCACAGAAGCACTCCATGTTGTCAAGAGCCTCTGAGATTTTCTCAACAGTGAGAAAACGAAATTTTGGAGATGTCTAGTCTGCAGAGTGAACCCCAAACACTGTCTAGTCAGGCGCTGGTGGGAGTCAGGAGAGAGCACAGGAATGCGAGCCTCACTCCTCTCCCTAACTCCAGCCATACACTCATTGTTTCATGGAATATAAATGAGTTAGCAATTAAACATTCAGAGTAAATACCTTCCTTTCCCATCAATGCATGAAGATAGAGTATCAGAGTCTTCTCACAATGTATTTTTTAGGGTATTGGGATTTTCAGGATACAGAGAACTTAGAGGTGGAGGAATTACAGCTTCAAATTTTCAGTTAATATAAGAAATCAGGAAGCTCTGCTCATTCAGGCTATGCACCATGTGCATAGTCAAGAATCAGCAGAAACCCTCTGCATTTGCAAACACTTTGTGCTATAAAAAGTAATTTTAAAAAAGCCACCTGTATATGTATATATATATTTAAAGACATGAAGGTTTTGATACTTTTTTACAAAAACTACAAGAGAAAACATACCTGTACAAACCATGTGTTTTACAATAGCATTTTGTTCTATACAGCTGTTGTTAATTTGGGGGTGAAGTACTGGTTTGCAGACTCCATCACATTGTACCCAAATGAATTTTCCTTGTTTGTCTCCCCCCTCCCCACCCCCACCCCCTCGAATGACCATATTTGATGTAACAGGCATGTTAGAATGTTGGGCCACACTAACCGTTTCTGCTTTTTGTCTTGTCATTTGAGTTTCATTAGCTTCTGTACCCAGTGCCCTCTGCAGTCTGGTTTCTGATCCAGAAGCAAAGGGTGGTGGGCTGCATCTCACTAGCTGTACTGACATCATCTTGGTGAACAAAAAACCAAATGTGAACATTTGTAAAACCAGTGCACTGTTTCTAGAGAGAGATTAAATTCATTTTTTAAAATCTGAAAGTATTGTTTCATTGTGATGCTTTAATTGGGGGGGGGGGCGGTGTTGAACTATCACTGATTGAGTCCTTAATGTGTACCCAGTATTCCACACAAATTATTTTAGCTTCAGCAATCCTGTGAGATAGGGCTGCCAGGCCGGCCCAGTTGGTAGAGCATGCAACTCTTAATCTTCAGGGTCGTGCGTTCAAGCCTGTGTTGGGTATGGCACCTACTTTAAAACAAATAAAAAATAAATTTAAGAAGGAGTTTAAAAGTCCTGTGAGATAAATACTATCAATATCATCATTCCAATTTTATAGATGAGGAAGTGGGTGAAGGAACTGCCTGAAGTCACTCAGTTACATTTAATATCCCCAAAGTACATGTTGCACATGTAGCCCTTCTGGACACGCGGCATTCTCTGCCTAGATTTTCCTTTTCTGCCTCTTCATCTGTTTAACTCCTGTTCGTCCTTGTTATTCCTTTTAGGACCACTCCTCCACAAGTCCTTCTCCATTCTCTTAGACCCAACTCCTAGGGTTAGGAAGTTTATGCTTCCACAACTTTGCCTATTTGCATACCAATACTTCTGCCCCACCTCCCCTTCCATGCCACTGAGGTTGCTTTTACCAAGGTCACTTGGGACCTCCCTGATTATAAATCTTCTAAATACTTCCAGTCTTTATCTTCCTTGACCTGGAAGCAGTTTAACACTGCTGACACTCCTTCTTGGATTACTCTTATTTTGGCTCCCATGACCCCATATTCCTGGTTTTTCCCTGCTTCTCTGGCCACATCTTAATCTCCTTTGCCCAGCCCTCACATTATAGTATTCTGTCTCAAATCCATCCACTTTTGTTATCTGCATTATCTCCTGAGTACAGGCTACCATTATCTTGGATTGTCATGATCATAGATTAACAGCTACTTATCTGAAGTTCTTATTTTTAATTCTTTCCATTTTCCAATCTACAGTATTGCAGCCAGAGTGACTTTTTTTCTAGAATGGAATAGGTTGCGTCACTACCACCCTTTCTACTTTCCTGCTTAAAGCTCTTCATCTGTTTCCCTTGCATTAAAATCCAATACCTTTGGGTTGTGGCCCACACTCCTTAATATGGCTTGTAAGCTGTTTGGCTTCTGCCCCGTCTCCAACCTGAGTACTATATGCACAGCCTCATTCTGTATTTAACCACACGGTTCTGGGCCCTCTATGTGGAACATTTCCTTCAGGAAGATGTCCCTTGAGCCCCTAGACTGGATTAGGAGCCATCCTATGTGCTTCCATAGTATTCTGTGTTTCCCCTATTTGTAACCTTTATCTCCTACATAATAATTACTTGTATACTCCTTAATTGCCTCCTCTGCAAGTTCTATAAAGGTCTGTCTTGCTCACTGTTGTATTCCCAGCACATAGCACAGTAAATACTCAGTGAATCATGCTGAATTCAGGCACATCGAATACACAGACCCTATTCTTTCAGCCATACCATGGGTCACTTTACAGCCTGATTGGAGTCCAGTGGACTTTAAATTTTCTCAAAACTTTTGTTATTTGCCATATCTGCAGCAGTTACATTATAATTTTTATAATTTCACTCTTGGAAAGTAACCTCATGGTAATTACCTGATGTCTGTATATACTTAATGTCAATTACCACCTCAAGATTGTTGTAGGATTCAAAGAACAAGCACTTATAAATGAGTACACATTTATTAGGTGCTTAATATCTCTGATTCCCTTCTCTCTCTCTTTTTTAAATTTTTTAAAATGTTTGTTTGAGACAGAGAGTGTGTGTGAGCAGGGGAGGGGCAGAGAGAGAGGGAGACACAGAATCTGAAGCAGGCTCCAGGCTCTGAGCTGTCAAAACAGAGCCTATCCTTCTCTTTCTTATACAATTTCCTTGGTACCATCTATATCCAGTGTTTTTTTGTTTTTTGTTTTTTAAGAAAATGCCTTATGGTTTTATGGCAATTTACAGTTTGCAAAATATTTTTCCAATTTCCAAGATATTGTTTCCTATCCTTACAACAATCCTGCCAGATGCATAACATTATTTTGCTCATTTTAAAAATAAACTTGAGGTCCAAAAAGTTAATCAGTTCACCTTCAGTCACAGTGAATCATAGTCATACAAGAATTATTTTAACATAAGCCTCCAGTGATGTTTCCCCATCACCCGCACTTTATACTCTGCTGCTTATTATTTTTTTTCAGGAAGGAAAAGAGTAAGAGTAAGACTGGGAATGAGACTCAGGGACCCCTACCTGAGTACAGAATAGTATAGTTATAGTAGCCAGGCCCCAGGAATGATGCCCTCTCAGCTGTCTCTAGAACTGATTTCATGACCTTTCTGGCTGAAATGTAGATGAGCTAAAGCAGGCTTCTAATAATTAGGATTTTGTCTTTTGCCTACCCAAGGAGGAAAAATTTTCCACAGCCAGAACGCCTTCACTGAGGTCAACCACTTGGGCTTGAAAAGTCAATGGCCTTTGGGGCATTTCTCTTCAAACGTGGCTTATTTGGGGGGTGGGGCTCAGGCATCAGTATTTTTTAGATGCTCCCAAAAGACTCCATTGTGCGGCCAGGGTTGAGAATCCCAGCGAGGTAAAAAGTGTATAGAAAACCAGAGTAGGAGATCAAAGGTTCATTTAGAGTTCTACTCACAGCACCTTCTCTAGAGACCAGTGAGGTAAAGGGAACGGTAGAAATAAAAAGAAATACAAAGTATTAAGAGAGAAAATGGGAGAGAAGTTAGTTCCACCGTGGATTCTGGAAAAGCGTCTCTGGGAACGGTTTTCTTGAACTGCTCGGTAAACGGCAAAGTTCAGTTGGGAGCCAACTTTTGACACAGGTGCCATCGTGTGAATTCCGTGGAGTCAGGTCATTTGACCACGTTTTACTACTGAGACCTAGATCCAGAGATGGTGAACAGCTTGTCTGACTCACACAAGTAGAGCCTGGAAGGGCGCAGCACTCGGGATGCTCAACCCGAAGTCGAAACAAGGTCCGCACCCACACCTGCCGCGGAAACCCAGAGGCCCTGGGGCAGGCTTCAAGCGTAGGAAAACCCTGCAGGGACAGCCTTGTTCCCGCCTCTGGTTGAGGGGGCGGAGCTGCACTGGCCCCGCCTCCAGGTGAAAGGAGCCTTGTTTCCACCGGGCAACGCGCCAGACTTGCCCCCACTTCCGGGAGGCGGGACGAGCGAGCCGATTCGCTAAGGCCTGCGGCGTTGCCTTGACGTCACTTCCGCGCGCCCTGGTAAACGTCAGTGTTGGGCGCAAACAGCGGCAGTGAGGTTTTGCTGGTAAAGTTTGGTTGCTTTCTTGTGAACCATGGAGAGTGACTTTTATCTGCGTTACTACGTGGGTCACAAGGGCAAGTTCGGCCACGAGTTCCTGGAGTTTGAGTTCCGACCCGACGGTAAGAGCGGCCTCTGGCCCCCAGGAGCGAGGACTGGGCCTGGGGTCGGGCGAACGGGGAGGCCGGGTTTCCGGAACGTGCGAGGAACTAGAAGAGGAAGGGATTGATGCCTGCGGCTCGGATCCGAAAGGATCACTTCTGTGTCCGCTCCACTGGTTCTCTTCATATGTAGAGACTTCCGTTTGGTGACATTTTTTACCAGAATGCTTCATCCAGCAAACATTGAGTGCCTCCTTTCCCAGGCTCTTTCACAGTCTGGGTAAATGACAGACCAGCTTCCTCTCGTGGAACTTGTATTCTGGTGCTGGGAGAGATATCATAAATAAAAAAGATTCCAGATAGTGACGGAGTGGTCAGAACCTAAAATGATGGGAAAATTGCTGGTGAGCTGCTTTTAAGCAGGGTAGTCACTGGCGTGCTCTCTGAAAAGATAATATTTGAAATGAACCCTAATTGACAAGAAGGAGCCTGCCTTGTGAAGCTCAGGAGGAAGACCGTTCTGGACAGAGGGAGTAACAAGTGTTAAGGCTGCAGGGCATGAATGAGCTAGGCATGTTTCAGGTGCTAGTACGGCTGAAGAGTAGTGAGTTTGGGGGAGAATAGTAGGCGACAATGTCAGATAAGTAGCCAGCGGCACACCATGTAGGTCTTTATAGGCCATGGCAAAGAGTTTGGATTTTTGTTCTAAATGCAGCAGGAAGCAATTGGAAAGGTTTTTTGTTGTTTTAAATGTTTTGTTTTTGTTTGTTTGTTTGTTTTGAGAGAAAGCGTGAGCAGGGGAGGGGCAGAGAGAGATGGAAACACAGACTCTGAAGCGGGCTCCAGACTCTGAGCTGTCAGCACAGAGCCTGACACTGGGCTCAAACTTGTCAACCGTAACATCATTACCTGAGCGGAAGTCAGCCGTTTAACGGACTAAGCCGCCCAGGGGCCCCAGCAATTGGAAAGTTGTAAGGGGAGAAGAGATGTGGTCGCTTCCTGAAAAAGCATTCTAATTATTGAGTGAAGAATGGGCAAGAGTGGAACTTTTTCAGAGACGTATTAGGAGACCGTTACATGTTCCAGACAAAAGGATGTTGGTTGGGACCAGGGTGGACAGAAGGATTTAGGATACTATTGGAGGCAGAATCAAGTAGGACGTTGCTGTTTGATAGGATTTGGGATTTTTAGGATAGGGCCACTGAGGTGAAGGAAAAGGAATCAACGATGAAAGAAAACTCCCACTAAATAGGGGCACAAAGATGAATCAGACAAACCCCAGTTGTAAACAGTGACAAGACACCGTTTTGGGTGCTGTGGTAGAAAGAAACGGTTAGACTCTGGAACAGAAAGAAGGCACCTAACAGCCTGAGGGTCAGAGAAAGCTTCGGGCATACAATGACTTGATGAAAGGGGGGGGGGGAGTTAGTCTTTAGTAATGTGTAGGAGTTGGTTAGGCTGATGAGTCAAGAAGGCATTTGGACAGTATTAACATGATAGAGGCTGAAAACCAAAAACAGCAAGGGAGGTTCCAAGCAGAAACCAATTAGTGTGACTAACTCCGGCTGTGTAAGAGAGGACTCTTGCAGGGGTGAACCTGAAAGGCAGGCAGGGGCTCGTTTAGCAGTTTCCCATGTTGAAGAATTTGGATTTTATCAAGAAGGCAGTGAGAAACTATTGTCAGTATCAGAGTATTAGAGTTACCTATTTAGATTGGTGTGTTGCTGCATCACTTTGTTTACTGTGTGGAGAATGAACCAAGAGAGACAAGGCAGTGAGGCATTAATTAATTTGGCTCTTTTTACATGTGTGCCTTCTATTCTAAAGATAAAAAAATCACCTATTTCCTTTTATCTCTTCCTTCATACCCACCATATACCCTGACTAGCCTTTTGGATGCACATAGACACAGAGGGCCTTATATGCCAAATATGCTTATTAATAAAATCACAACTTTTCCATCACAGGAGTAGATCAGAGTGTTGCACGGTCACATGCAAATCAGACCCTAAACAACATTTTACAGTTGTCAGGCTGCTTTCAACTCATTTGAGCCTCAGGAGGCCCTGTGTGCAAGTAAATTACCAATTACTATACCTGTTTTCAGCTGAGGACATTAACTTGCAGAGATGGGATTTGCTTGTGTTCTTCTATCACACCTGAGCTGCCTTTTGCAAGAATTATAATTCAGTGTCAGCAGTATTTTTGAAGCTATCTAATAGCCTAAAGAACTGAAAAGACTGCTGTTGTTGGAACCCCAAAAGTATAAATAGTAAATCTGTAAGACACGGAAGGGAAAGCTAGTATACATTTTAAGCAACAACTGATAGTCTTGGTGAGCTAATGATGTGTTTTTCCTGTTTTTATTATACATTGAATGTTTTTTACTCCTCACAGGGAAATTGAGATATGCCAATAACAGCAATTACAAAAATGATGTCATGATCAGAAAAGAGGTAATGAGCCTTCTGAGAGTCTTTTACTACAATTCATCCTTTTGCTTATTTTTGTTATTTCTGGGAGTAGTATTGAAGAAGAATGGAGAAGTATAGACATATCTGTAGACACCTAAAGTTTTTCTCACATCTTCTTTTAGTTTATATTTTCTTTCATAGTGCTGAATCAATCACTGGTAATCATTTAAAGTCTTGCAGGTGTTGGTTTTAACTCTGAATCTGCTACTTTTTTTTTAATGTTTATTTATTTTTGAGAGAGTGACAGAGTGTGAACCAGGGAGGGGCAGAGAAAGAGGGAGACACAGAATCCGAAGCAGGCTCCAAGCTGTGAGCACAGAGCCTGATGCGGGGCTAGAACTCACGAGCCATCAGATTATGGTCTGAGGTGAAGTCGGACGCTCAACCGACTGAGCCACCCAGGCTCCCCAGAACTGCTACTTATTAACATCATTGAACATGTTAGATGTCAGGCATGGCACTTGGTATTTTACACATGATTTAGGTTTGTAAGCCTTACCTTTCATCCTTGTCTAAGTCAGAACACTTGCAACTGAAATTCCAGTTTTCAATTTGCTTTCAGGCGTATGTACATAAAAGTGTAATGGAGGAACTGAAGAGAATAATTGATGACAGTGAAATTACCAAAGAGGATGATGCTTTGTGGCCTCCTCCTGACCGAGTAGGCCGGCAGGTGAGTGTTTTAGCAACTGTCCTGTAGTGCAGAAATCTTAGAAATAAGATGAGGTTTACTGCCCTGCATATGATAGTGAAGCTGTGTATGTGTTAAGGATCCCGACACAAAGCAGATTACCAGCACTTTGTCTAAGGAAGCATTAATCCTACAGGGGAGGATACAGCGACAGCAAGTGGTGCTTCTGACCACCTAGAGTCCAGCTCTGGATTTCTCCATGTAACTCTCCCCAGAGCCCTTCTCAGAGTTTTTCACTGCCCACCTCACTTACTGAGTAACTACTATGGACAAAGCATTGTGAAGATACAGAGATAAATAGAACATGGCTATTTCAGCAAACTAAGTATGTGTGTTTAAATTCATGCTTACACGTTTATTCTGAAGACCGTTATGGTAATTAAAATAAAACCCAGTGTCATATTTGACTGTGTTAATAAGGAAGCTATTTCTCCCTGCCTCAGCTGCTCCCTTCCTGGTCCAGACATCTAATTGATTTGTTTATTGTCCTGTATAGACCATTTTTCCATCCTGAAGCCAGACTAATCTTTTAAAATGTAAATGTATGTATTCCACTAATTTTAAATTCTCCACTGCCTTCATTCTGTTTAAAATAAAATCCAGAAGCGCCTGGGTGGCTCAGCTGCTTGAGCTCTGACTTCGGCTCGGGTCATGATCTCGTAGTTGGTGAGGTTGAGCCCGGGCTCACTGCTGTCTGTTAGCACAGAACCCAATTCAGATCTTCTGTGCCTCTGTCTCTGCCCCTCCCCTGCTCATGCTTGCTCTCTCTTTCTCTCAAAAATGAATAAATGTTTATTAAATCATAAAATCCAAACTCCTGCCTTATCTTTGACCATTCACACAATCTCTTACTGTGTTCAGATCTTACTGACCTAATTTCTGTTCCTCAGACACAACTAGGTAGTTCTTAGTTTAGGACATTTGCATTTGCTACATGCTATCTGGAATGTTCTATCCAAGACTGTCTTTATTATTGCAGGCTTCAAACATCACTTTTTCAGTGATGTCTTGCCTATCCATCCAATCTAAAATGTCCCTCCCCATTGTTGGTTCGTTTTTTTTTTATAATAAGATCTGTTTTATTCGTAGCATTTATTATTGTCTGCAATTGGCTTGTTTGCTTTTATGTATCCCTTTTCCTCCCCCACCACAACACCTACGTGTACCCACACAAACTCCTTCAGTACAAGGATTTTGCCAATTTTTTTCACTGCTGTATCTCTAGTGACTAAAATAGAGCCAGTGTATAGTAAAAGCTCAGTGATAATTACATTTATTAAGTTAATATAAAAACCCAGATAAGTTCATTCCTAATTCACCTCAAAAGGATGGGCAGCTCTTGAGGTAGAGTGAAAAAAAAAATCCTTAGTACTTTGTAAAGTTAATTTCTAAAGGTAATTTTTTAAATTATGTCCATACGACCTCTGTCGAATCATATATACGTATTTTGCTTTACCATGATAACGTTTTCAGCTCTGTTAACTCATTCAACAATCACAGTAGTCCTGTGAAGAGGATATGGTGTACTCCTATGTGCTAGCAACAGCCTTTCAGATAGGGTAATTACAACAAAATTCCATTCATCA